ACCAACATTACATTTTGTCAGATCGGCGAGGGATTATGGTTCTCTATTGTGACAAACCAATTTGTCGTTTAAACAATTCATCAAGACATAATATGACAAACGATACTTTGACGATGACATTTTGTCACTTTATGTCTCTTAGATACCGATGTGGGTTACCTATTTTGACGAACCATATGGTGACACACAAATTTGGTCACGTTATAGACTTTAACTGACAAAGTATTCTGACAAAACGACATTTTGTCACATTAGGAGTACCAAATGTGACATTTAATTTTTTTTTATATTATAGAACCTATTATGACAAACGAAAAATGACAAAAAAATATTTTGTCCTAATAGGCCGAATTTGTTGTAGTGTGTTATTACACCCTATGGCTAGCTTCTTGTATTGCTTTGTCTAATGTTAGGGTTTTGGTACATAACCCCGAGTTATCGAAATGCTACATAATCTTTCTTGTCAGGATGATAAGATATTATATTAGGAATGATACAATCTTACTATTTTGATACGAGCTCTTACGTACCATCCTGATAAGATAACATATTAAAGCGGTAAGATTTTGTATCAAAGTAATAAGACATGAAATTATGAAGATCTGTGTAAATCAGAGTTATACAACTACTTCCCTTTCTTAATTTAGATTTACTATTTTGGAGGGAGAGCTGGATCGGTTGAATACTGTAATTGATTATACAACACATATTAAATCACTTGTTTGATTTTCGAGGTGCGTACCTAGATAGTGTTATGTACCAATTCTTCATCATCAACATTTTTTTTTAATAAACATCATCAACATTATACAAACAGCAAGTTGTGATAACCTATCCACTATCCTAAGCTAAGCTATTAGTTCCTATCTTGTTATTTCAACGTTAATGTACATTCCCCTTCTTCCCAGCCGGCTTTCACTTGATACCTCTCACTTTCTAACAACGTAATTTCACTTGTTTATGCACGCGCGTATAGGGTTTTGTTTCTTGTTATTATTATTGGTTTAAGTGAATTGACACATTGATTTAAACAACTTCGATAAAGTGTTCGATGGTGATGCACGACATTGATAACTGATTTGTCAGGTATAGATTCCATACTTTAATAACAAGAGATTCGTTGAAGATCAAAGTTAAACAACCTCAAAATTTGGTAATTGTTTATCAATCTACACACCAAAACATGATAAGATTATAATGTTGAACTAGTTAATCATGTCCCAATAGGAATTCATCACCACCACCGTTTTCTTTTGTAGTATCTATTGTCAATTTCACCCTAGCTAGCTACCCTTTTCTTGAAGTTTATTCCTTTTCTAAGTTTACATTATAGCATCTAGCTAGTTAGCTAGTATACCAAGTTCATGTCCTTAAAACACAAAGTGGAGCCAGCATCCTAGAAAGAGCATTATTCATTTGCTTGTTCTTTTCGAATAATATTAGGTACATATTCAACTAGATCTACGTATGGTTGCTATCTTGCCAAAGAGAATTAAGAGAACATGCATCCAAACTTCTTTCACAAATTTGTTATGTTCACTGATGACTACTGCAAACATGGGTGTGCACTAATGTGTTCCTCTTGACGGATTCTTCGATTCGTTGATGATAAGAGTATATCTGTCTAGAGCATAAAATTTAATGTATAGTATATGTTTTATCTATCTCTCATCGAGTTAGCTCATGAAATTTTAATATTTTCTATTATAATCTTTTATGTGATCGTGATCGTGATCGAATGAGAAAGTTTATCAGATGACATCATCCATCAATTATAAAGTGAGACTAATTGTCTTTACTAGCTTCTCTTGTTGTTGACGTCTAATTAATGATCTATATGATCCCTAGATCTATGACTTGAACTACCCCATTCAGTAGTATAGTAAATTCTCTGTAGTTTATAGTTGACTTTCTTGAATTTAATCAGTCCTTGTATGTGTAATTGATATCATGACACAGAAAAGAAAACACAATTGTATTATTATGATCCCTAACCCTAAGAATACATTTGCTATCACTATCTTCCACATATTTAAAAGGGATGATTACGTGGGTGTATGTAGATGTCAATGAGAAAGCAAAACGATATGAAACCAACTTTTTTTACTCTTCAAAACTTGTTTTACTACAAAGTAAATCTTCTGTCGAGATTTTGAAGAATAACGATCATAGCAAGAGACAAACCTTCTAACCCATATGAATGCAGCCCACAAGTGTAGAGAAATAAAGTCATCCTCAACCTGAATGATCGAGATATCTCTTGTGAAATTTTGATGGGAGACACTAAATTCAAACAAATTAGCAAGTTCAAACTATAAGTGTTATCGTAAAGTTAAATGTAAATAATATTTGTGAGAATCTATATAGCTTTGAGATGAAAAATAAATTTAAATACGAATTTTTCAAAATAAATTTCAAAATATCTAAAAAGTGTACTAAAAAGCTTTCATTTTTTTAAACAAAAACAAGGCGCCAGGCCCTGATGGATTCACTGCTGGTTTTTTTCAAAAAGCATGGCATATAGTGGGGAGGGATGTGACACGGGCTATATTGGATTTCTTTCAGACTAGCAGAATGATTAGTGGGATTAATTCGACTGCAGTCTCCTTGTGTCCTAAGGTACCAAATGCTTCTCAACTTAAAGATTTCCGACCAATTTCGTGTGTGAATGTTGTTTATAAGATTGTTGCTAAAATGTTGGCAAAGAGAATTAGAGAAGTGTTGCCTAAAGTGATCAGTCCAAATCAGACAGCATTTGTAAAAGGGCGTCGAATTATGGATAATATCATGTTAGCTCAGGAGCTTGTGAATGGATATAATAGGAGAATGTTGTCTTCATGGTGTGCAATTGAGGTCGATCTCATGAAGGCGTTCGATTCAGTGAGTTGGAAGTACTTATTTGAGGTTATGAAAGCAATGAAGTTCCCAGAGGTGTTCCTTAGTTGGATTAGAGCATGTTTACAGACTGCTCGGTTCAGTTTAAATATAAATGGAGGCTTGTGTGGTTTTTTTAAAGCAGCCAAGGGGGTTAGGCAGGGTGACCCGATTTCACCTTATCTTTTTGCAATTGCAATGGAAGGATTGACAGGGATATTGAATGAGGCCACGCAGAAGGGCCATCTCCCATATCATCCTCGATGTAAGCAAGTGGCAATGAGTCATCTCTGCTTCGCAGATGACTTGTTGATTTTTACAGAAGGTTCAGGGCAGGCAATCAATAAAGTCAAGGAGCTTATGCAATCGTTCTATTTGCTGTCAGGTTTGAGATGTAATCCGGGAAAATGTGAAATATACTTTGGAGGGGAATCCTGGAAGTACAAGCAGAATGCTATTAGTCTCACTGGTTTTAAAGAAGGAGAGCTTCCTGTTAGGTATTTAGGGCTGCCTTTGCACTCGGGTAAGCTGACAGATAGAGAGTATGATGTGCTTATTGCTAAAATCACGAAAAAAAATTAAGTCCTGGCGTGCAAAGAAGCTGACATATGCTGGCAGATTGCAGCTCATATCTTTAGTGCTGTTGAGTGTAGTACAATATTGGTTACAGATTATTATCCTGCCTAAGAAAGTATTGAAGAGGATACAGAAGGTATGTCAAGATTTTCTATGGCATGGAGAGGAAACTGGAAGAGCAAAAGTGGCTTGGGAGCGACTGGCACTTCCTAAAACAGAGGGTGGTCTAGGATTGAGGGATTTAGCTTCCTGGAATCAAGCTTGCTCGCTGAGACTTCTTTGGCTTATGCTAATGCAATATGGGGCGCTTTGGGTGGCCTGGACAGCAGCTTATCGCTGTAAAGGGATGGATGTGTGGCAACTTAAGATAAATTATAGCAGCTCTTGGGCGTGGAGGAAACTCCTTCGGCTCCGTTCGAAAGTGCAGCATCTTCTCACTAAACGTGGGGATAAGGTGCTGTGGGATGGAAGTCCAATGGAGCAGTACTCGCCAAAAAGAGTTTGATCCACACTTCGTCCTAAAAACAGCAAGAAGGAATTGAGCAAGTTGATATGGGGGAAATGTAGTATTCCTAGATTTAGTTTTATTGCTTGGCTTATTATGACAAATGCTCTGACGACTCGAAGCCAGCTAATGCGATGGGGGAGAATTAGTGATGATAAATGTTTGCTATGTGGAGTCTGTAGTGAGACCAGGGAGCACTTGTTTTTTGCTTGTCTCTTTGTACAGCAGCTGGTGCAGGTTGCTGGAGGAGAACAGTGGTGTGTGGAGTCATGGGAAAGTGTTGTTAAGCTGGCAGGTGACTTGGCGAAGAAGAAGAGTCCAGCTGGAAGATCTATTTGTGTGCTATGGTGCGGACTTTCTGCTGCAATTTGGAAAGAGAGGTGCCGCAGGATGTATGGTGAGAAACATAGAAGCGTTGAGGAAGTGTGGAAGGAGTTTCAATATGATTTAAGTTGTCGATTGAGTGGCGATGTAAATTTGGCGACTGGTTTTGAGAGCATAGGCATACTAAATAGATACCACAGTTGCTGATATGAGCGAGTAGTCAATGTAGATAGGGCAGTGATAGTTGTTTTTCTTGCTGGGAAGACTATACTGGTCTCCCATTTTCGTTGTATTGATTCCAGCATCGTGATTTGAAATGCTATTTAATGAGAGGAGTTGATTCAACGGAAAAAAAACAATTTGTCATTTGATCGTAATACTCTCTAAATAGATTCTCACAAAAAAAATTGTAAAAATTGTAATACTCTCTAGATAGATACAATCCGACCCGTAATAGGAAAATTGGGCCGAGTAACACTTAGGACTTAGAATACTTAAACCCACTGGAACTAGAAAGCCTTCGTCCTTCTTGGTTGCAGGCTTGCAGCTTCAACGCCGCCGGTAAACCAAAAATCGAGCCTTTTAAGTTCTAACAGCTCAGAGGATTGTCGCCCTCGCTCTACAGCCCTACCTCACCGTCGGAAGAACTCAACTTTCGATCCTTCCCGCAGTGTTTCAATCCTTCCTACTGGTTACCCCACCGTAGACAGATAACTCAGAGATGGAAGAATCTCGCGATGGAGGTTGGACCCTCGTCACTCGTAAACCCTATTTTGGTCTCCCAACTGCTTGCCCAGTTTGTCTTCCCGTTTACATCTACCTCAAATTTGGTCGCTGCCCTTTCAATTTGGAGCTCAATTCGTCTTACCCGGATTCAGGTACGCGCGTAATGGACTTCTTTCTGATTCTCTCTCTTTTGGCTTTTGGGAGCAGTTCGATTTTGTTTGTGGGACGAGAATCGGTACAATGAGATACGAATTAGGAACCCAAGTTAGTAAAGTTTTGATTTTTGAACCGTGCTTGGAGAAATCTTGATAGCATGGCAAACACGATTCCTTCACTTGGATGTGTTTGGTAGTCTAGACTCTAGAGTTGCTACTGTCGAACATAAAGTTGGTTGCTTTTTAGCTCTATCCAAGTTCATCAATTCCTTCCAAGTTATAAGATATGGAGAACTAGAATTTGTTCAATCAGATGGATACAATCTGAATGATGGATGATTAGCTATTTCAATGAGTTTATACTGGTTTACCTTTCCAATGCTAGATCAAATTCCCTACATTGAGGGTGGAACTTATGTGGCTTACAACAACGAAAAGGGTGGGGTTATACAACAATTGAAGCAGGATGGAGTTGTTGATTTGGATTCTGAATTCAGCTCGTTGCCAGAATGGGTATCAATGAAGGCAATGATGAGTTCATGGCTAGCTGATGCAATCACTTACGAGCTCTGGCTAGGATCTGGTGAAAATTCCGCCAAGCAGATTTATTATTCGGATCTTCCTTGGGTGATAGGGAAGGTTCTTTTTGTTAAACAAGTTTATGATGTGAAGCAGCGATTTCATATAAGTAAACAAAATGCCGAGAAAAAGGAAGAAGAGGTAAACTATTCTACCATTCACTGATATTTCTGAGCTTATGATAAATAGTTTTTGACTTTTTTTGTTTGTGGCCAGATTCATGATTGTGCAAAAGCTGCATACCGAGCTTTGTCTGCAAAGTTGGGGGAACAAGATTTTCTTTTTGAGAGCAGGTGATAGTTTTCTTTTTCTGTTTCCAGTTTTCTAAAGTAATTTGGTATAGCTCAGCAGTCTTTATGACGACACTTCATTGACATATGGAGAGATAAGGTCCCATTATTCTTCATTATGTTCTGAGTGAAAGAATGGCTTTGCTAGTATCCACTAAAGCTTCTGCAAACATTGACAAGAATCAAACTATTCCATTTATTCAGGCCAACAAGCTTGGATGCAGACCTTGTCGGGCATGTGCTTTTCATTCTTCAAGCTTTACCTGTGAGTCATTTTCGGATTCTTTGAGTTTTGCAATCGAATATCTGTCACTATGTTCCCTAGTTTTCTTCTGTGATTAATCATTAACATAACTGTGAGAATCAACATCTATCTTGGAACATGCATATACATGTTAGCTAGTTAACACTTCTATAATTTGTGAGCGACTGTTAGCTACATGTGGTTCTTGATGCTTTGAGTGAAATCGTGGGATATGTCTTAGTGGTTATCTAAGCCTCTGGCTGATGCATTACCTAATTTTCTTTATTGTCGGATCTGTAATTTTCTTCTGGTAGAAATCCAATCTGTAATTTAGATGTTGTAAACCATGACGTATTCTGATTTTCTTCCCTTATTGTGTACTCTAGGAAGACTCAGTTCTCCGGACTGCTGTCTTGGAGCATGAAAATCTCATAAGGTATGCTGAAAGACACAGGAATGATATCCTAAATTCTGATCCATCAAGTGCATCTGCTTCAAATTTCCAGCCTCCACCATCAGCAGCTCAAACAAGTTCAAGTGAGTTAATCTCTATCACCCTCACTTTCTTCATCTTTCTCCCCTTCCAACCGATTCCATCATTGCAAAATATAGCAAACCTTGAACTCATTTTTTGGGCACAATTCTTAAGATTAATGCAATCACTATTAGGTTCGAAACCCAAGAGGAAACCTAAGAGGGAGAAGACGGAAGAGGAGAAACGTTTCCAACGGAAAGCCAAGTACTTTATCGGTGCACAGCTTGCTGCAGTTCTACTGTTTTTGTCTCTCTTAGGCAGTTCATCCAAAGTAGACATTGATGAAGATGATGAGGATTAAGTTACGAATAAAATACGGATCCTTGTATAAACAATTTCATCACCCTGTTTCTTCTTCGTTTCATCAGATTTTGATTTTAGTCATAATCATTTCTTTTCTACCTAGTTGATTCCCCTAGTCTTCAGAGATCATAGTTGCTAACAGTCTCCGGCATATGTTCTTCCATTTTGTTTTGAAAGACACCGAGTAAATAAGATGCTTAGTGATTGGGATTCAACTACTACATGCTTCACATTCCAATCAATGTTTTTGTGGTGCTTTAAGCCTTCTTTCTCAGCCTTAATTCATGCTTTGAAAGTGATAGCTCAAAGACAAGACAATTTTATCTGTAAATAGAAAAACTATGGTGCAAATGGTTGCAGCTTCTATGGCCATTAGCGTTTTTGAATTAACTGCCCTGTAGTTGTTGTAGGCATAGTTGTTTCTTATAAGTGGCCATATTGGCAGAGCCATTTCGATAGTGGTAATGCGATGCCCTTATCTATTAACCAAGGGCCAATCTTCATACTTTTGTGTGAGATCATATTGGTAAGTGGAAGACAGTTTAATCAAATTTCAATTTGGTTGAACACCTTTACTTTCCCATAGTGGATCAGGTTTCAGGTAATGCCAAAGTAGAAACTTATGTGCTCAATCAGCCTCACTGATTGAAACCTATGACTGTTACCATTACCAATTATGGTCTCAACTGCTCCAACTTTAGATGGGACATGATTTGGTGAGTACAGAATCAGATTGAATTAGTGTATCCGAACGAGATACATGGCGCATTCGATTCATTACAACCATTCATTGTACTTAAAAATGAATCCGATGGAACCGAAATCGAATCGATTAAAGTTTAATACAATCAAACCTATTCGATCAAAACATCAATCTGGTTTGATTTACTCACATTCCAGCAACTTGATCATAGGCAAAAAGCTTTCTTCTCACAAATTTTTGGGTTATTAAACCACCTACTCTAAGTAGGAAAGAAAACAAGGTTAAAAGATGAAGGAAAAACTACCTAACACATAGATCACAAATTACATTCCTTTCCTCTACCGAGCTAACTCTACTTCTCCCGCGGCGGCGGCGCTTCTTCCCCATTCTCCCATTGCTTGAAAAGCTGAGCATATCCCTCCGCCGCACCATTGCCAAACTCGGTTAACGAGCTGATAGTGACCGACATCCCAGCACAGAGCACCCTCATACCAATCTCAGCCATTTTCTCCACTGTCATCACTTCTTCCACCTCCTTACCAACTTCCACCATCTCCATTCCTCCATTGTTGTTATTATATCTCCTCGAACCCACAGGAGAAGAAGTCGAGTCATCTCGCAGAACCTGCTGATCGCGAATCGAACCCATCCAATCCGCGGCGGTCTCCATCCCGTCGAGCACTGCCTTCTCCTGCACGGCATCCAGGAACTTGGACCATCCAATGCAGAGTCCGAACAAGGGGAAAGAAGCCGTGCTGCTTGATCGACGCGGGGAGAAGGGTAGCTTCGAGATTTCGGCGGGGTCGAGACGAACGCAGCGGAGGAGCCAGCCGGCGAGGGACTGGATGTAGGATCGCTGAGAGGCGATCCACGTCTGGAAAGATGACCTCCAGTTCCTGAGCTCTGTTTCCATGGCGGCGGCTGATCGAGATAGGCGTTGAGGGTCGGTCATCGAGATGGAAGCCCGCCTTCTCGCTTCGAGCTTCGATGGTGCTGATGCTACTAAGAGCTTGGCCGTGTCGAGTGTTTGTTTCTGAGAGTGGTGGCACTCTGCCATCACCTTCCACATCGTTGCTAACCTGTATTTGCATTGGAAATGTTTTTAGCTAGCCTGCATTTTTCTTAAGTGTCACGCAAGGAAGTGGAATGAATACAATTACCCTTGTGCTAGCTCCAAAAGCTGAGGCTGCAACTCTTCATCCCGCAGAGTCTCTATCCTCTTGGATATAACTTCCACCGAATGAATCGAAACCTTAATCTGTGTATCCAATTCTCTAATGGATGCCCTCGTTTTGTCCAACACACAAGGATCCTCTCCTTTAACGTCTTGGTTCCTAAGCTGCATACATTTCTTCTCGTACGCTATCCGAATCTTCTCTCCTGACTGCAACCAGATAATAGATGCAGTAATGAAACTGTCAGTTTCTCTGAAACAAATAACTGGTTGTTAGTTGATTTCTGAACTTTACCTTGACTTCGTCGAACAGCTTCTTCTCCCAGGCGTACAATCTGTCCAATGTCGACTGGTGGCCACCAAAGATCGCGCAGTTATCATCTGAGACGTCACTACTGCAGCTATCCTCGGGTTCATCTCTGAAGGAAGAAGAGCTGGCCAGGAATCTCGATGACGATGAACGAAACGAAGCTGATCGGATTAGCGCGACTGGATTCAGCATTTTCAATGCTGCATTTTGAGAGGCAAAGGCCGAAATGAAAACAGAAGTCACAGAACAAGAACACTGCATGAAGGAGGTTAGTACTGCAAGCTATAGACTTTCACCTGCGAGATCATTTGAGGTGGATGATATTGAATACTGAGCTCTGCTAGACTCTAACAAACCAGAAACCACTTTAGCTGAATCACAGATCCTTCCAAACTGATCTTCCAGATCCTTGACAACTTCTGCCATGCTTGTTGGTCTTCTGTTAACATAGGCTGTAAAACCTTGTTTCTCAGCTTCTTTACTACCACTACCAACAGCCACAGCTTGTCGATTACGTGGCTGGACTTGTCTCGAATTCTGGTTTCGAGACACCTCAATCCTTGTAGAACTAGTTTGTGGCCGCTGCTGAGAAGAACCCTTCATCATGATCTCGTCTTTGCAGTCACCTTCAAAGCATATATCATCATCGTCGTCGTCATCATCATCATCATCATCATCTTCATCAACATCTTCAACTAGTACTTCTTCCTTGGGGTACTCATTGTGCTTTACCGGAGGAGGACGAGGAGGAGCTTGTTGTTGTTGTTGTCGAGGAGCTTGTTGTTGTCGTTGTTGATGTCGTTGTTGTTCTCTCCTTTCATCAACTTCATGCTCAGTTTCATCTTCCAAGTCAGGAATACCTTCTTCCTCTCTAACCCGTCTCAACCCTCTAATCTCATCATCTCCACCCATGTGGTGATCAATGCTGCTACGAACCGGGTAGCCATAGTAATCCAATGAAGAGAAAGGATCCCAGAAGCCATCCCACTGAGATGTCTGAGGTGAAGGTGGAGGAATGTAGGCTCTATCATTGGAGGGAGAGTAAGAGAAGAATGAAGAAGAAGGTTGTTGTGGTGCAAAAAAATTATCACCCTGATAATAATCCATCATTGGTGGATAAGCATCCATATGGTACGTTTGTGGTGACTGAGGTGGTCTCTCCTCGACAAACACTGGCTGGTTCCCACCTGATCTTAGGTAGCTTGGTGGATAAGCATCCACATGGTACGTTTGTGGTGACTGAGGCGGTCTCTCCTCGACCAACACTGTCTGGTTCCCACCTGATCTTAGGTAGTTGACTGTCACAGTCGGCCTAGTTCTAGACTGTGGAAGTGCTGGTGCGAACGATTTATGTGAGCTCGAGATAAACTGCGGGCTTCTACTGCCTTTCTTCGATGGAGTGGTGAACTGTGGTGGAGCTATGAAGGAGTCCAGAAACAAATCCTGAGGCTCACCGGATTCTACATAGTCATGGACGGCAGCAGATACCCTTTTCAATGACTGAACATAAGCCAAGTGGCTGGACGCGAACCTTGTTCTCTGCTCTACCGCTTGCTTGATGAACTTTTTCCGATCTTTACATAGCTGTACTGCTTCCTCATCGTCCAGCTTCGATGTTGAGCATCCCATATTCCCCCTTTCACCTCTTCTGCACAAGTGTCATTTGCTTATTCTTTTTCAGCTCTTTGAAGAACCCCAATGGCACTGGCCACTGAGAGATCCTCTTAGAACAGACCCACAATAGCGTTTCTTTGTTCTTTTTCACTTCTGATCAAGCTTCAACCCCTGATGAGATTCAACTGCAGAAGAGATAACAAACATGGAAACAAAACCTTCAGCAGCAGCCAAATTTTGCTGGTGTTTTCACATTCTTTCCTCTACAAGCAAGGGAAAAACTGAGAATACATGAGAAAGGTCTAGCAGGGTGGTGGTAAAGGCGGTGCCTTTCTTCGTTCCCAAGTTATGAAGAGAATGGAACTAGCCTAGTTTTGTTCCCTTTGGAAGGTAGAAGTCGAACAAAGGGGGAGGGAAATAGGCAATGGTGATGCCTTTCTCATGCACAAACAATGCTAAAACCCAAAAAGCAAAGAAAGTGGAGGGAACGAGTTAACTAAAGAGAGAATGATTAAAGGCCTAAAGGGTGTGTTTCCATTACATTACATACAAGCAGAATCATTTGATTTCCCAATTACGAGGCGGAGAGCAAAGCAAAGAAAGCATAAAAAGCAGCAGCTGCAGCAACATTATTTGACTGTAAGTACTGTACTCACATGGCGCTAAAAAGACAGAAGAAGAAGAAGAAGTCTGGCTAATAAGGCAAAATCCCCCAGCTAGCTAAAATCTCCATGTGAACAGAACCCATTTCTTTACGAACTGACCCTACTGATATAGTCTGATACCACTAACATGTGAACTACCAGAGATATTGAATACAGAGTGTATAAGACAGGGGAAGAAAAATAAACAATCATACTCTGTTCATCATTCACATTATTAATTGGGTTTTAGAGAATGAAATATTAATTAATACAAGTAGATAATGAATCTATTCCTTTGATTATTGTTAATGTCCCTAAACAACTGTTCATCGAAAAATTTACTAGCGCGCATACCGAGGTTGTCAGTAATAATATATACAACTGTGAGGGAGGAAAAAAAAATCAATCCAGGTAGGTCAGAGGAAGAATCTACAGAAGCTGAAAACAAATGAGATTGAAGAAAGCAGCAGCATTTTCAGCTCAATGGGAATCGATCGATCGGCGGAGGAAGGAAATGGTGATAATACTGTGTGCTGGAAATGGCGGGAGAAATGAGAGGTTGGGAGTGATGGTTTTGGGGGGAAGAGGAAGCGTACCTTACGACGGGCGAGAGACGGCGGCGAGCGGCGGAGGAGGTAGCTGAGAGAGTGGAGAGGGAAGGAAGACGGAGAGCTAGAGAGAGAGAGAGAGAGGGAGAGATAGGAGGAAGGAAGGAAATCTGGAGCCAACGGTCAAAAGAGATTCCGAAAAAGAGAGGAAAAGGGCGGCTGTGCTCTTCTTTGTTCTCCTCCTTTTAAAAGAAAGAAAGAAATAAAAAGTGGGAGGAAGGAAGGAAAATATGTAGGGTCAATTACAGATCAATCACTAGATATTCATACATAACTAACTTATCATTGAAGTTTACACCTTTATTATCCGTGATGGCAAAGTGAGAATTTATAGCGAGGATCATAACATATATAGGCGAAGTCTGAAATTAAACTCGAGTATTAAATGAAGGGGAGTGCTCGTCTACTACCCTACCACTTTCTAACGTATGATTACTACATGATTGTTATAGTCTATTATCTGCACCTCTTCCTATGTAGTACTAACAAGACCGTGCACATGCACATTTTTCCATCATGAATTTAGGCAATTTGACATATTGATGCGGATGGTTGAAAGACTTATGAAGTCGTGTTGATTGAAGTTAATTATTCCAAACATTAATAAAAATTTCATTGAATATCCAAACCCGTTCAACTGACATTTAATACAAACAGAGCACATTACCCATTATGGCTCAATTTCTAACCAAAGGGACTCGAAATCATTCTACTCTTATTCTCTCCCTGCTCCGATGATAATCTTAGGCATTTTTGTTATCATGAGTTTGCACATTTCATTATAATACAAGCAAATTTTATGAAAACCCGATGATAGAAATGTATGAATAGATTGTTTAGCTATGCGTTGCTACAAACTATAACAAGTTTGTCAAGTTTATAAAAGAACTCTTGTGATCAATTCATCAATTAACCTAAAATTTGGTCGCCTTTTGGAAATTGATGAATAAAATACACAAGAGACAGAAAAGAAAAGGGAGATTGGGGAAGAGAACAGAATTAGATCCTCTTCCTATCCCACAGAACTGAGTGCGACACTTCCTCCCTTTTTTCCTCCTCTTTCCTCCCCATGTTCCCCTCCCTATTGCTTTTTTAAATGACTGTTATCAAAGTTGTTAAATTTCTATAATAATATAATGTGGTGTTTTATTCTTCCCTGAAGGAAATGAAATAATTAGGCTTAATTGCAAGTTTGGTCACTGGAATTGCTTAAAAATTTTATATTTGCCACTAGAATTACTTTATTCCATCCGTAGTCACTTAAATTAGTTCATCAGTTCAAGTTTGGTCACTCCCCGTTAGTCTCCGTTAACTTTGACTGACGTGGCAGTCAACTCTAAGAGTTGACCGTTAAATAAGTGACGTGGCAATTAAAAAATTAAAAAAAAATAATTCAATATTTTAAAAGTGCCACCTCATTATCGCAATAAAATAAAAATACATAAAACAAAATATCATTATAATTACAAATTACAATTCAACCTGATTTCTTCCTTCTCGTTGCGGAAGTGGAAATCGGCGGCTTGGATTTCCATTTTCTTCCCCATCCCGGATTCCCAGCCGGATAAAATGCCATTATGCCAACCATCTCTGCTTTGCCATTGCTTCTTCCTAAATATTCCAACTTTTCCTGTCCCAGTCGCAAAGCAGAAGAAGAAGACACAGAAGAAGAAGATGCAGAGTCGTCTGAGCAATCGGAGCTGAAGCTCAAATCAATTACCCCATTGGGGCTTCCTGGAAGCAATAGGCCATCGATTTCGATTATCAGAACGAAAACCCCCATCGATTCCTCTGTCTTTCCTACTTCATCCTCGCAACCAACCCTAGTTGACGGAGACCGATCAATAGACAGGTGTGGCGAGAATCGGTTCTCGAGTCTAACAGGTTTCTTCTAAGCCAACTCGGCGGGAATAAGAAGCGTCGCCCTCTGAGTACTCGCCCGCAGCAGCGAGGACGACAGCGGCGACAGGTTCAGGCGGCCGAGGCGGAAGTGGTGCAGCTTGGTCGCCGGCAACGGCCAGAGGAAATAAAATATTTATTTTTTTATTTTTTAATAGTTTTTAAAATGAGGTGGAAATTATAAAAATATTAAATATTATTTTTTATAATTTTTTAATTGCCATGTCACACATTTAACGGTCAAAGATCAGAGTTGACTGCCACATCAGCGAAAGTTAACGGAGATTAACGGAGAGTGACCAAACTTGAACTGTTAACCTAATTTAAGTGACTATAAATGAAATTAATTAATTTGAGTGGCAAACGTGAAATTTTGTAGCAATTCGAGTGACCAAACTTGCAATTAAGCCGAAATAATTAGTTAACAATCCTAATCACTTGGTGGAATTACGTTTCACTAGTGGACTTGTTGTCAAACAAGTATGGGCTCAAGCTCATAAGAACACCAAAGGGTTAAACAAGCCCTCCATTGAAAGAGCCCACATCATGACTACTGCTGGTATAGGCCTGTTAATAAGGGGTTATGTTCCAATACAAATACAAAGGATTAGGAGCATGCATTAGCAACGTTAAGGAAACCGTACTGAGATTATACTGGAAAAGTGAGTGGTAGGGTATTTTAGATCAAAATTGTGATTGAACCATTTTCTATCGTTGAAACCGCCTATCATTTTGGGCCCGGTATTCGGTATTTCCGTTCCGACCGACCGATACGGTAGGGTTTCCTAAACCTTGTGCATTAGGCTTTGATAGCTTTTTGAAAAGCATCGTGCTTGATAGTTGATAGGATGATTTATCACATTCTTGTAATGTTGTTTTTGTATCGAGGAGTGATCGCTACGATTTCACATAAGTGTACAAAAATAATTTGTTGTTGTCATGTACATCATGCTCGAGATAAACACGTGTCAAATGGAGCTAGTGACATTACAACATTAATCGTGTGCATATAAATTTTGATCTTATTAATTTTAATATAAGTTCAAACACCTTGAACAAAAAATTTATCCCTAGATTGCAAATTATTTTTTTGGTTACAACACAGATTGTAAATTTGAAGTGGATGGACCTTTAAATTTGTTTTTTGAGTCATAGAGGGATGTAATTAGTCAAAATGAGAAATATCATGGCCAAAACTAAAATTCGCATGATCCATGGCCTAGGGTTTATAGTTTTTTTTCCGCCAAAGCAGAGGGTTTAGAAACGGTTGCCGCCGCCGATTTCCGAATCTCCCTCCAATACTCCGACTGCCACCGTCTCACCTCCAACCTCTCTTCTCAGCTTATTGCCAATCTCTCCGGGAAAAGGTCGGCGGCGGCGGCCGTGGTGTTCAATATGGCAAGTCGACCGGAGAATCTCGCCCCACCAGAAATCTTCTACAACGACGCCGAAGCTCGTAAATACACATCCTCGTCGCGTATCATCAACATCCAGGTAGAGATCAGCTCTAGGATTTAATGGGCTTCCGTTGAATTACTCTGTACTTGTTATCTGATTCCGGCTTCCATGAAAATAGTCGAAGCTTTCAGAGAGAGCACTGGAGCTTCTAGCTTTGCCTGATGATGATGTTCCGAGATTGCTTCTTGATATCGGTATTCAGTTTTTTTCTCTAGATTTGTTTACTTCTTAATTGGAACTTGCAGCATTCCCATGGAAGTTCTGAAAGCTTTGGCCTTTTCACTTTTGCAGGTTGTGGTTCAGGGCTTAGTGGGGAAACATTAACTGAGAACGGGCATCAATGGATTGGTCTAGACATTTCGCCATCGATGCTTGGTATGCATTGCTTCTCTTGCTGGTTTGCCTGATTTTAGAGTGATGCTGCTTTCATGTGTAAAAAAGTTTGAATCTTTTTGCCTTAAATGTAGACATTGCAGTGGAGCGAGAAGTTGAAGGAGATCTCATGCTACACGACATGGGCCAGGTATGCCCTTCGGCATTTTGTCAGCTCAAAGCTATATATTAGCATGAACTTGTTCTTTAATGCTTGAATGGTTGATGAAATTTCAGGGCTTGCCATTTAGGCCTGGAACTATTGATGGTGCCATTAGTATCTCAGCTGTTCAGGTTTGTGAGCTTTATGCTTACCTTAGGAAATGAACGATTGGTTAGTTTTAGACAGAACGATTAGCATTCATTCCTTTCTCTCTGATCTTTTTTCTGTAGTGGTTATGCAATGCAGACAAATCATCTCATGAGCCGAGGAAACGGCTGAAGTATGTTCTTCATACCTTCTAACCAATCTTTCTTCTTGCAAACATGACTAGGAAAGTTCTGCAACCTTGTAAAACCTTCTTCTTACCTTGTTGGTTTTGATTTTATGTTCAGGGCATTCTTTGGATCATTGTATAGATGCTTAGCAAGGGGAGCGAAAGCAGCATTTCAAATGTACCCTGAGAACATGCACCAGCGAGAGCTGATACTGAAAGCGGCTATGCAAGCTGGATTTGCCGGTGGAGTAGTTGTTGACTACCCACACAGGTAAGTTGCTTTGACATTATTATTAGTGAGAACCACCAGATCGTGTTTCTTAGTTACCATGGCTGCTGAACTTGAGTGACACTTTCTACTTCCGCAGTACCAAGAGTAGAAAAGAGTTCTTGGTCCTCACCTGTGGGCCGCCATCAGTTAACACAGCTGTTCCGAAAGCAAAAGGGGAAGAGGGAGAGAGCTGCTCAGAAGATGAAAGCGGTGATGACGACGATGAAGAGCACCAAACAGTGAGTTTCCTTTTTGGTAGATTTGTAATTGCTTGAAGGGTAACTTGTTTTTCTTTATTTATAATTACCAATATGTGTTTGTTTCGGCTGATGGTACATAGGTGAGCATCTCGGACAGGCACAGACCGAAGAAAAGGCAGAAAACAGGGAAGAAAGGGAAAGGAAGGCAATGGATATTGAAGAAAAAGGAGCAGATGAGAGGTAAAGGACATAATGTTCCACCTGATACAAGATACACTGGTAGGAAACGGAAGGCAAAGTTTTGATCGTTCCCATCTTTCTGCTGATGCTACTGCTTCAACGTGCTATTTTCTGGTTGTGTTATGTGGAAGACCCAAGATTCTGAGCTTTGAAGTTGAGTGTCGATACCATTTTTGTTTCATCTTTAGAAACTTGGGAAGCAATGTATTCATTCTACAGGATCTTTGCAATTTTAAGTTTTGGTATTTATTCCCTTGGGATGCTTTGGAAGCTCTATTCATCTTTGGCTTACTTCAACATTGAGAATCCTCTTCTCTTTAACCACATGCACAATTGTATCCTATTCTATGTTCTCTGTAGTCTCTGGTTTGGTCCACTCTGGTTTGGTCCTCGAGCTGTCGATGCTGACCAATCCAGCTAAAATCAGTATAACTTACTCTTCAACGACTCTGTTTAGAATCACTTTCTGCAATTAGTGCCCTTCTGATTACTATTTAACAACTTCCGTTTGTTCCTTCTGAACCACATCTATTTGTTGGCTTAGTACTGTCTTTATACATTATCTAAAGATTCATGTCTGCAAGCTTCAATATTTTTAGCTTAAAAAGGCTTTCATTATTCCCCTTCACATTTTTGTAACCAGAAAACTATATTCGCCCGCCCATCAACCTCCCAAACTTTCCCTCTAATTCCCCCATTTCTCAACCATTCACCACACGAAAAGGAAACGCCTTTGACTCTCTCTTGCTCTCTGTTTTCCTTCTTTTCGTGTCTGGAGAAAACTCCCAACTCCCTTTTATGTTCCACTCCAGAGACAGAGCAACCATCAAAGCTCTCCTCTTTTACTCCGCCCTCTGGCTTTTCTCTGTGTAAGAAACAGAGCATCAGTTCACAATGAAGTACATGAGAACAAACAGCTTGAAGTTGAAGCGGCTCTTCTCATTAGTCCGCCGAACCGTCGAAGAAGAAGAAGAAAGGATAATCGGGAATGAAGATGGAGACCCAATTCGCCGAATCAAAGAGCAGTACATCGCCACTTCTCCAAGACCACCCACTTGGAAATGCTTCTCTTACGACGAAATAACACTCGCCACCAATGCCTTCCACCCAGGTTCCCTCCCACTTTCTTTTCCTTCCGTTTCTAGCTTGGCGATCAAATTCTGACACGGATTTTATGGGTTCTTTTGTTTTCGTTTTTCGCTCCGGCGGCAGATAATTTGGCGGGGAAAGGAGGGTATGCGGAGGTTTACAGGGGAACCATGCCGGGGACAGGGGAAGTTGCGGTGAAACGGCTGACGAAATCGTGCACCGACGAGAGGAAAGAAAGAGACTTCCTGATGGAGATTGGAACGATCGGCCATGTCAACCATCCAAACGTCCTTCCTTTAGTTGGTTGCTGCATCGACAATGGACTTTACCTCATTTTCCAGTACTCCTCCATTGGCACCGTAGCTTCTCTTCTCCATGGTAAAAAAAATTCACAAAATTCTTCACTCATTATGACGGATTGAATTGAAAAACTCATCGACTCTGTTTCTGGGTTTCTCCATTACAGGGGAGAATTGGGGAGAGTTGAATTGGCGAAGAAGGCACAAGATAGCGATTGGGACAGCAAAAGGGATCGATTATCTCCACAAGGGATGCCAAAGAAGAATCATCCACCGGGACATCAAATCGTCTAATGTTCTATTGACGGAAGATTATGAACCCATGGTAAGTATGTTCCTCTTTCGTTCTTCCCCTTTCCCTCCCAAAATTTGTTGCTCTGTTTTCTCTGTATCTCACTGGTTTCGAGTCGAATTGCAGATATCCGACTTCGGGCTGGCGAAATGGCTGCCAACGCAATGGTCTCACCATTCAATCGGGCCCATTGAAGGAACATTCGGGTAAAGATCACTGGGTTAGAATACAAAAGCTTAGATGATTCGATTTTCTTGACTGATGATGGGGAAAAGTTTCCATCTTTACGGACAGGCACTTGGCGCCAGAGTATTATTTGCATGGGATAGTGGACGAGAAGACGGATGTGTTCGCGTTTGGAGTGTTCCTCTTAGAGCTCATCTCCGGCAAGAAACCTGTCGATGGGTCTCACCTCAGCCTTCACAGCTGGGTAAGTCCTAATGCGAACAAAAAGGAAAAAGGCAAACAAAAACATCCCTTTCTCCTTATAATTTTTGCGAGAAATGCAAATATCAATTATGTGTGTTGTATTGACAATAACAATGTGGCAATAAAAATGGACAGGCGAAGCCAATCCTAAAGAGAGGGGAAGTGGAGGAGGTGGTGGATGGAAGGCTGGAAGGAGACTACGATGGAACAGAGTTGAGACAACTTGCATTTGCCGCTTCCCTCTGCATTAGAGCTTCCCCAGCCTGGCGCCCCACCATGGCCGAGGTACGTATTCCTTCTTCTTATTCTTCGTTTTATGTCGAATTTATCGGAGCAAGAAGTCGATCCTAATATCAATGAACAACACAACACATGAACATACCGATCGTCGTAGTAATAATGTTCCAACCCTAACAGACGATATACAACATGGTCCAGTGCCCCTCAAAAAGTTCCCTCAATTCCCCCCACTTATCCTTCTTTCCTTCTCCACCATTAATGACAAACATTTAGTTCCCTCACCGACCGCCATTGATGACCATGATCAGCAACGAAAGGGAACTGCATCACAAAACAGAGCCAAAGATCTGTTTCTTCAAAACCTCCCACCTCATTGACAATGAAGTCCATGCCGTATGCCTGTCTGTACCATACAGTGACATTTGCCATCATTAACTACTTAACCCTTTGTTTTTGTATGTCTTAGAATTGACTGCATGAGCGGTTTTTGCCACCATCTTGCAAGTAAAATGCTGTTTATTTTGTGCATACGCATGAAGTGATGAAATGTAGGATTCATAAGTCAAATAGTTACTGATTAATAATGATTTCTCGGGGGGGAATTAGGTGGGTTTATGCCTGTTTGATGACTTGTGCATCTCATTTTCACCGCCCAATTCAAAAGACTATACCGTACTAATACTATTCCCCACATAACTGCTCAATTGACCTTCAAAAACTTAAGGTATATGGGGAATTATAATGGAGAAAGAAAAAAAAAAGAATATATTAACTTGGATGGTCTGTCTTATACCTAATCCAAAAACCCATTAAGCCACGCAAGAGATTGCACGAGTCTTCTTCCCCCCAAATCCCCCACTGTTCTACATGTGCTGTTTGATGTTGATGATCCTACATCAACTTGATGAAGTTGGGAGTTTTAATTAGGTTGTCAACACTCATCGATCATCATTCCCCTATAAACAAAATACCACAAAATCCAAGGTCCATTTGATTTTTGAGTCTGTAGTTCAACCTTTGTATTGTATGAGTTGAAGTCCTTATTTGAATAGGATAAGTGGGTTTAAATTATTGTGGAGGTTCGGTTGAATCAAATAACAACATCTGTTTATTCGTTTCGTATTGTGTCAAGGGTTGATGTTTAAGTAAATAATTTTGCTGCAGGTGTTGAAGGCCATGGTAGATGTGGAGGAGATGGGGAATGAGAGGTGGAAGTTGCCAGAAGGTGAAGAGCAGCAAGATGAGTTTTGGGGGTTTGAAGATCTTGAATGTGACGATGATGATGACGATACTGATTCCTTTTCTGCTTCTAATTCTGTTTCCCCACAGGATTCCTTCTCTATGATTTCCACTACCATCACTCCTACTGTAAATGCTACCAATGTTACCACTCCAACCTCAATAATTCCTTCTTAATTCCCAGCTGCTAGAGAGACCACCTATATTTTGTAGTAAGTGTACAGTTTTTGTATCTTCACCCCCTCCTCCTACATCTTTGTATTTTCATTATTCTCTTCTTCTTCTTCAATGAACTATTGTATTGTAGTCGTATCACAAATATATAAAGTGAAGTGCAACTTTATAGTGAATTAGAAATTCAGATCCTTGTAAACTCTTTCTTTTTAATATTAGACACTATTTTATAGAATCATACGATAATCTATGTGTAGTAAACAAATTGGTTCAAACGAAAAAAGAAGTTTACAAGTATGACAACTCAATTGAAGGAAAGAACATCTGCGAAATACATCGCAGAATGATGAATACAATCACAAAGTTCAACACAAATGGTCTGGACCTGCGAAATACATCGATTCGACAAAATTATGATTACAATCACAAAAGTTGAATACAAACGGTGTGGGTTTTAGATTTGTTTGAATTTCTATCCCTTTAAGGTAATATTGCTTTGTGATGACATCTTGATTGTGTTTCTATTTTAGCTCTGTTACAATTTTGGTTGATGGTTCTCATATTATAATTGATGTCTCGCCATCCTCCCATAACATATCCAATGATGATGAGAAAATAAAAATGAAGATAAAATTTACAACTTTAGTCGTTCTGGTACTATAATTTGGATGTTGGACCATATTCATCATTATTTGGGGAAAAGGTCGAGTTGTTCAAAAAACAAAAAAGGGGTTGAGTTATTTTTGTCCAAATGATCAAAGATGGACCATATATTGTCAAAAAAATTAATTATACGGAGATTCTTTGGGGATCTCTCTCCCCCTCTGTGTCTCTTTAGTCTTTATATAGAAATTGTGGGGTGAGGTAGCATGACTAATATAAATGGGTTGGAAAAATGACATTCCTTATTAATTATAGGCTGTTAAGATAATTGATTTGTGTTGCATTTAATAATTTGTCTGAATTAAAAACTCATATTAATTACTTTTCTTTTTCAGTGCAATGGTAGCTGTACCAGTGCAATGGTATCAATGTACAAGTGCAATGATAGTTGTATCAGTGCAATGGTAGTTCAAAAAAAGGAATATAATTAATATGAGTTCATTATACATGTAAGTTGTAACATGTGCAATGATAGTTCAAAAAAAGGAATGTAATTAATATGAGTTTTTAATTCCTAAAGATTATTAAATGCAACACGAAATTAATATCGTAATTAACTATAATTAATAGAGGATGTCATTTTTCCAACCCCATAGAGGAGTTAGCAAGTTAACCGATCCCACAAATTGCCACTAAAATTTCATTAATTAAGCATCTGATTGATTGGTGTGCACTTGTTGGGTGAAATATATTTTTGTTGCTAAATCTTCTTGATTAGCATCAATTTCCCCTAATTATATTTCAACATTTTGCATTATTAATCGTATGCATGCCACCTCGAAGTCTATAACGTACTACTTTACTAGTTTATCGCAAGTGTTAGGAACTTAATTAATTGAACTAATGGTCCTAATAATATCTGCATGCTCGCGTGCTTAATAATACCAATTAACTTCTAGTGTCTCTCTCAAAGAAGACAGCTCATTTGACACATAACATAAGCACTTTGCCACTTATTGCATTTGCATAGGATGCTCAAGGAAAAAACATTTAAGTAAATCAATCATATAAAATGCTGCTTAATATTGCATGTGACTTAGTTCGAGCCGATAAAATTGAGACTTAGTTCAAAAGTTATAGAAGACCAAAAGAATATCGTAAATTCACACGAGATATAAATTTGATAGAATTTTATTATTAATAGGTGAATTTGACACCCTTCATAAATTCACACAAGATATAAATTTGATAGAATTTTATTATTAATAGGTGAATTTGACACCCTTCATAAATTGACCAGAAAGTAAAGAATAATTTTACCTGAGCTTTATAGTTTGAAATAAAAGAAGGCCGATAAAATATCGATGATTAAGATGCTAATCCAACTCGGTCTTATTAGGGGATGGTTGAGAATAATAATACTGAAAAATTAAGCATGCATCATTTTGTGCCCCTATGGTGCAGCTGTCCCAATTTCAGGGGAAGTTGGTTTGAAAAGGCAGTTCAAGGGTGGCTCGGGTCTTTTTGGCCTTTAGTTTACTTAATCCTCCTCCCTAATCACAATTTTGTGGTTAGCAGTAGCACATGTCACTTTGTGAGGCATGTAAACTCATTCACAATTGTATTTTTTTTTCTTCTTCCCCAATATGTCAAAAGGAGTCAAGAATATATTTACTCCATAGCTAAACCAGTTCAAATTAAAAACAAAAGATGTGAGGGACATCAAATCGCTGACTAAATTAAATTCATATATGATCTTTTGACACATTGAAAGATCATGACTTTCGAATCTTGTTTGATAGTTACACCATGAAGCCTTTAATGGAAGACGAAGTAAGTTCGGCGATCTATAAAGCGCTAGTAGTTAAAATAGATGTCTCCACGGATCTGTTCGAATTTCAGTGACTCTTTGGTTGTACATTTCTGTCCTAATAAAAAGACCAAATAGACAAACCATCAGCGCATTGACCATATTGTATTCAATAGAGAAGGGGGGAAATGAAGATAATGAAAGAAAGAACTTTCTCTAATATTTCAATGGCCGACTAATGAAGCCATTGGAGAAGAAGTTAAGCAAACTAAAAGGTGCAAAGTGGCAAGCTCACAACTAAAACCTTTCCAAGAGGGTAGTTGTTTGTCTCGATACTAACCAAACCCACAATACCAACTATAAACTTATTAGACAAGTCCATCTGTAAGTTTGGTGAACTTAGTTTAATTACTGATAACAACAATGACAAGAATCCATGTGTGGCAGGGAAAGGGGGAGCACAATAACATAAACAATCACTAAACTTTGGGACTCCTTGCAAAGAGGTCACCAAATCTTAATAAGTTGTCATTTAGGTCGGGTCAGTCACACGAAAACTAACATTTGAAATAATTATCAATTAAGTATTATGTCCATCATTACCAAGTTTCCTTAACTTATTTTTATTGATTAGTATGTCAACTTATCTAAAGTAATAATGAAGAGGTCAAATAGAGGCTTGAAAATTAGCTATAGATCAGGAAAGGAAAATATTAAAGCGTATTTGAATTAATTTGAGTTGAAATTCGGGACGAGCGATGTACCATTTTGATTTGAATCAGTCAACCAGGGGTTATGGGGTTGGTTTGCCTCATATCAGTCAAATAGAGCCTATGTAGCTTACATTTCACATATTAATGTGAAAGAATTGTACTAATGGAAAATCTATGCACACTTTTTCTATTATTGATACAACCATACATGTGATGTATTAGAGGTTAAAAGGCTTAACTATCCCTTTCCCAACAACTCGAGTTATTGGGACCAAGTGGTTAGTTCGCTAACATGGTATCAGAGCCTAGAACCGAAAGGTCATGGTTTCGAATCCTCATAACGACCCCCATTTCATGCCAATTCGTTTAGCACAAGGAATGGTATGTCCAACCTGTGCAAACTAAAGCCTCGTGGTTTGGCAGCACAAGGGTTCAACCTGTGCAAACCGTAAAAATCCACAATTCGGCACGTTTGAGGGGGCGTATTAGAGGTTAAAAGGCTTAACTATCCCTTTCCCAACAACTCGAGTTATTGGGACCAAATGGTTAGTTCGCTAACATGATGTGAGTGAGAATGCTGATGAGGGAAGTTGATAGACATAAACAAAGCAAACAAACTGATTTTCATGTTAGTTATGACCGATTTGTTACGAACTTGGTGTTTAGTGACGGTTTAGTTAGTTGACCACCGTAAGATAAGACAGCAGGTGAAGTTGCTCTCTCGATATCATAATTCCCAACCATCTAACGTAAGGGGCTCCCAAAGCAAAACTGAGGAAACACATGTCATGGAATGTTAGTTGAACGCTGCGGCCCTCTTCTTCTTCTTCTTCTTCACATGCTATGTTGGCTGGTCCTCCTCTTCTTCTGTTTCATTTTTATAGGAAAATGGGATTTTTTTTTTTAAATTCAGTAAATACAACTAGGCTTGATGTGCACTTGTTGTTTACCTGCAAAGGGAACATTTAATTGGGGGAATGTGCTATCCTCTTGTCTCTTGGATTTCCTAGGTAAACTAGATTGACTTCATTTGACCATGGAGACTAGTGGTTGGAATTAATTACATCATAATATTGTAGGTATGTTGTGTTCGGGTTATGGGTGATCGGTAGATTCGAGCTATATCGAGTTAAACAGACCAAACTAGCATTTATATCGAAAAGAACTAAATCGACGCATAACGCAATTTTGAAAATAAGGCGTATTTATCTCGCTTGTAGGTTTCTTTGGTTCTTTAAAATATTGTGTGTGCGTAATAATAATAAAAAATTGTGTGTGCGGTACTTTATAAAATTATATTTTCACGTTAGTGTACTTGCATAAAATATCATGATAGGGAAGTTTAGAAGGATATATGAAGAGTTGCACTTAGGGGTGTGCAATGGTCCGGTCCGTACCGGACCATATCGGACCAAACCGTTGTTAAGACCGGACCGGACCATACCAAGTAAAATGCGGTCCGGTCCTTGGTCCTCCTGATTTTTATAATTACTGAAGAAATGGTGGACCGAGCTCATATTTGGACGGACCGAACCGGACCAAATGGACCAAATGCAAGAATGGTCCGATCCTTGGTCCTAACATGTCTTTCACTAATGGACCGCGGTTCTCATGAGTTTGGTCCGGTCCGTTGCACACCCCTAGTTGCACTTGCATACCTAGAATGCATAATTTTGATGCATTTACGAGATTGGTCTTGTTTTTTTACAAAACTAATAAATCAAAATGTTTAAATTCTTGCCCCAAATGCCACAATGACCAAACAAAACAAATATGAGAGAGATCACAAATGCATGTAAAAAGCCCATGAATAGGCAGAGTTTGGAAAGATCTGAAAGCACACCATTCTGATCCAGAAAGGGTCACAAGCCCAGTCCAACTAACTGACAGCAATTCCGATCGCCAGGCGAGCCCATCCAGGCCCAAGACACAGAAGAAGAAGAAGAAGAAGAAGAAGAGGAATGAAGCCAAACAGCCCACATTCACTTTCGATTGAAAAGGGGCAAAAGAGCACCAGAAGTACACACAACAGTGACAAAGCTTGCATCTTTGATACACAAACAGCTACAACACAACAGGGTTAGGTGGCAAAATGAGGCCAAAGGGAACTCAAAGAAGCAAAAGCACATTCTTAGCTACTTTCTCCTATACTATACTTTGCTTAATAGAGCAGCCATTACATATAGATAAAGATGTTGTACAACAGACAGTCCACCATCCCCGACGGCTCGACTACATCAATTCGCCATAACAACAGTCTTCTAATTCACAGGAAAAATTCCACCAAACATCCAGCTGGATCAGATCATCCATCAGAGTAGCATTTGGGAGGACGGCATTACAGCGCCGTTCACACATTCTGTGCTTTACCTGGAAACTCTTTTGCTTTGGCTCCTTGATCCTGCAAGTAATGCACAATGCAGAACATTTTTTTATTGTGATTTGAAGCAGCCAATAGCTCAAAGATTCAATCTTTCTGCCTTTCCAACCCCACTTTGAGCTCACGGGTTAAGCAGAACAATAACAGGAAACATGGCTTTTTCCCAGCATTTTGGGTCTCTACTACTTACTTTCCACCACATTCTAGAGTCATTTGATCTGTAGGAAAGAAAACAATGCCAAAGGAAAATGGAAGCAACTACAACTGGAAAAAAGAGCACCAATGTTGGGCGAGTTAAAAGTGTGGAAAGGAGTATGGTTTTCACTGTTGCTTATTTGGTCAGAGTAGATGAGCTAGAGCTGCTGTTGTGTGTTAAGGACAAAGGAAGGAATCTTAGTAAAGCAAATGAATAAAGTTTCACAAGTTGAGAGTGAGAAAGAAGGTAAAGGGAATCTGATGCGAACACAAAGGAAATGGACAGTTAAAATGACATCAGGTCTGGATGAAGGATGCTAGTGCCTAGTGGCTTGGTGGCCAACCATTCTCATCACACATTTGGAGATCGACTCTGACCACAGAGAATTTAGTACACAACTCAACCCGATTTAACAAATTTACGAATTTCCAGATCAAATGCTCTTATGATCCGGATTCTAGTCCTCATTCTCATTCGATTTCGGACCAGATCAAAGTATATGACCCCTACTTTGAGATGGTTTCGTTCCAATTATAGCGGATGTCCCCGTCGGGACCTACTCTGAGATGGTTGGTTCATTGCTTCTAAGCTACTTCTCATTCAACTTCACTCTTCCCAGTTCCCACCCCCAACAACAACAAACTCAACACAAGAATCCACAATTAGCAAATTAAGACAAAGATAGGACAATCTAAGCAAATCATACGGTTCATTTCACTGAGTTCCCCACCAAAGGCATACGCTAGACACAGAGAGAAAAGAGCCAATGAAGCTTACCAATCCCTTGGTCTCAAAATAATCATCCAGAGCCCACTGGTACTTGGACTGATTCAGTCCAAACCACCGCGCCAAATGTTCATCCAAGCTCGAATTCACTGCATCAGAACAACAATCAATCACCCATTTCAGCTCACACATTTCCAGCCACTTGTAATTAAGAGTTAAGGAAGCGAAATGAACTAATTCGGAATCCGAGTTTTCTTTACCGTGTTGAACCTTGGAGACGGCGGAGCGGAAGAAGCCGCCAACCGATTCATCGTCGATTTTTTTGGTGAGGGGCTTGGAAGACTGGATCTGGGGAGCGGGAGGGCAGACGACCTTCTTTGGGGAATCGTGGATGTGAGGCGGCGGGGAAAGGGGAGACGGCGGAGTTGAAGGAGTGGGAGGAGGAGTGATGAAGACGGTGTAAGGGCCGATTTTGCCGATGGTCGGCGGCGGAGTGGACGGGTCGGATTTGATTGGCATTGTCGGAAAGAAGAAGAAGAAGAAGAGGAAGGGATGATGCAGAAGGGGAAGCGGAAGAGTAAAGCAGAAGAAGAGAGCTGAGAAAGTAGACTACTTTCAGACTTTAAAAGCAAAGCCAAAGAGCAAGAGAGTGAAAGTGAACTGAAAGGGCTTAGCCTTAGAGAGAGAGAGAGGATTGCATTGGTTGGTGGGCTGGAGCGTGGGAACAGAGACTTGCAGTAGAGTAGATTTTCTTTCCCTTTTTTCTCTTTCTTTTGTTTGGAACAATTGCATTTTTTTTTTACTGGAGAACAATTGCATTTTCAGTCCTTGTGTTATAGCTTTTGATCTCAGACTCTACACCGCTTCTCATTTTTTTTAACCATTAGTTCTACTTCTATGGCGCGCTATGATGGACTTAGCGGAACTAGATTGAGGAGAAAACTAACGTACTTGATATGTCAGTCATAACTCATAAATGATCACCTGATTAAGAAGAAAAAAGTTGAACACTCAATGAATAGCATATTTGAACAACAATTTGAACAAAGGGACGAAAAGCAAACTTTGTTGCAAACGACATCAATGTGTCCTCACATCGAGTAGCTATAATGGATGATTAAGGGGTCGTTTGGAAGTTGTGATTTTAAACTATGTATTAAGCTAATTCATGTATTTGTGAGATTAAGTCATTTTTTTGCCTTACATTGAACTAGAATACATGCATTACCTTTTTGGAGGCCCCACCACAATTACTCAAAATTGAGGAATTATCAATCTCTACTTTTTGTTGAGATTCTTTACAATCTCTCAAAATTAACTTTTGTGGCTTTACAACAAAAATACAATCTAAACCTCCAAACAACAAACAATGTATTTGTCCAATACATCAATTGATTCAATACATCAAATGATAATACACTAATTGACTCAATACATCAATTTAAAAAATCACAACTTCCAAATGACTCCTAAGATTAATCTTCTTCGCATCATTCAATCGAATATACATCCTTCCTATGGGAAATAACATTGACATGTAAATTATGAGTAAAAATGAGATCAGCAACCATCATAAGCAAACCATCCGGGTAACATATTATATATACAAAAACCATTCATAATCTACTCTCTGCAAACATAAGTCACAACAAGAGGTGCAATATCTGATCCAAGAGAATCCAAACTGCAACCTGATACCAATAACATTCGACACCAGAGGTAGCAAAATTAGAGCCTCCAAGTTATTTCTTCGTATAAAGGCATTCACTTTTGCAGTTTTACTTTGTACCCTTTTGTTTTCTTTTGGTTCAGATGATCAGATCAGAGACCACATCAAAGAACTACTAACTAAAAGTTTACAAAGAAAAAAGAGAACCCAAGAGGCAGGAGGTTACATAAACAAAGAAGAAGCAGAAGAATAGGAACAAAAGCAAAAACAGAAACAGAAACAAAAAAATAAAAATAAAAAAGCAAAAAGAAGAGACTTCCTCCATTTCTTCTTCCTACACATATATTGATACATCTATCACTCCCTACCCCCAACCCCTCCCTTCTAAACTCCCTAAACCCAGACCTGGAATTCACTTAAATACCGCACAAGCTCTTTCATACAACAGAATGCACGAGGCATTCATTTCCAGACAAACCCACAAAAATCCTTTTGACTACACAGCCACTATCCATCTTTTCCTCTGTCAATCACGAGAAATATCACTGAACTCAGATACCAAAGTCATCAACTTGGAACCCTTTTCTGCAACCCTGAGTATTCAACACGCTATGACCAATACATATTCTTCCTCGATCGATTATTCCTGCATGTACATACCTTGTTCCTGCAGTCTGCATTAAATCACTGAACTTGCTAATGACAGCTCATGCAGCTCACTCAGCATCCATTCCTCCCCGGTCTGACCACCGAGCACAATAGCCCTCGTTCCTCCAACCACACACGTACTATGCCCCCATGCAAACCTTGGTGGCCTTCCTGGCACATTCAGAATCCTCCATGTTGGTTTCTCCTCCGTTGGATCTAGCAGATAAAGCTGGGAAGCTGAATGAAGGCCCGCAACGGAGCCTCCAAAGATAAGGATCCTCCCACCGGGAAGACTGACTGCTACGTGGTCAAGTCTAGGAGGAGGTGCCACCCCTCCCGGGTTCCCTGCGCCAGGCATCCCACTACCTGTCACGCATCTCCAACACGGCTCATCCTCGCTCAAATCCATTGTGAACACATCGCTGGAACGAAACCTGAGGGGCCCACTCTTTGCCAGACCGCCGAACATCAATATCTTCCTTCCTCCGTAGACTGATAGTGTGTGGCCCAATCGAGAAGGTGGGGTCCACGCAGCTGGTATCTCTCTCCAAATCGGCTTCTCCATCGCGAGGTCTAGAAGAAATGTGTCGCTGAGGAGAACTCCTGAGTCAGCGCACCCGCCAGAGACGATCAGCTTTGTGCCATCAAGGGTGCACGAACTGTGCCATGATCGTGGCAGCGGTGGAGCTAGCCCTGAGATCTCCCGCCAAGTTGGTGGCTTGGCGTCCAAATCCAACACAAAGACATCGTTGAGCAAGCCCTGCCCTCCGCAGCCTCCGAAGACTACTAAATTAGACCCGTCGACGCAAGATATCGTGTGGCCCCACCGCCCAGGAGGAGGGGAGCTAACATGGACGTGTTCCCACTCTGGGTTGCTGGCATTGAGATCTAACACGAATGTGTCATTCATAGGCTGCATGTTGACACCTTCCCCACCGAAAAGGACCACCCGGTTCCCCACTGCGCATGCACTGAAATTGCAGCGTGAAGGCTCGACAGAACCACCAACTGTAACCTTTCTCCATGCGGCTGCTTCAAGGGTGGTTAGTTCCCGGGCAAGCCGACCCCACCCGAGTCGTTTAGCACCTGGCACAGCTTCCAGAATTCGAGTTGTCTCGCTACCCCATGCATTCTGACAGACCATTCTCCAGAGATCCTCGTTCTTGGTCAGCTCGTAGAATCGTCGAGAGACTGAACCAACCGACGCAATATCTCTTGGGGTTAACCGGGAGAGAATCTTCAAAGATATGACCTCGTCGCTCAGCTGCAGCATGCCATAGAGACCACTAAGGCAAACTGATCGATCAGTGGGGCGGTACGTGGAGAGACGAGAACCAAGGCGGTCATTTAGTTTGGCCGAGTCCCTGATCGAACCGGGTACTGGACCGAGGTCGATGTTTGCTGCTTCGGTGAAGAACTGAATCGCGATAACGTGAGTGATTATGTCATCCTCACCATATATGGGAGTGAGGCGCAACCTGTTCATTAAGGGGGACCCATCTTTTCTGAAGTTCAACAGCTCGCCTTGGAATTCGATGCATTTGTCAAGGCACCGCCTTATTTCTGAGATCACAGTCGAGTCAACTAATGGGTGCCTCCTTTTGGCAAATGGTCCTCTGCATTGCAAGAAGCGGCTACGTAGAGAAAAATAAGCATATATCAGAATAGTACGATAGTCAAAAATTGCCAAGAAGCATAACCACGAATGTAAGCTGAAAAGAGGTCTCAATCATGTGCTAACATTCTGCTGCCACATAGAACAGAAAGCTAGCACAGATCCTAATGTTTGAGGCACTTTTAAGAATAACCTCGATACACCTACTCTCATATAAAAATGAAGGTTACATATACTATAACTATATATATCCTAGGTACACCATATTTATTTTCTTAATTACACTTAATCCACAATAGAAGCAGCATATATATCTGTTGTTGAATCCGAGTCTCCATTTAGTAGGTCCACCTTTCAGCTGATTAAGTCCCTTGGGATATCTATACTAGGAATGCAATTAATAACAGCTCTAGAGCCATTGTAGTTAGTATGCAGGGAATTCCCTGTCAACTTGGTTCTCCAGCATTTTCCTCTACTAATTCAGGTAGATCTCCGAGATAAGTGAAACAATAACAAAAACAAACACAGACGCACCAAAGCCTATGATACAATAAAATTTAATTCTTTTAGCCACAAAGCACCAAAATTGGAAGTATGCCAGACCAGACACAATTACTGAAGAAATGCACCGATACCAAGGCAGAATCACAGGTCTATTGAGCATGCATAGGCCTCCAAATGAATCCGATAGGTCCAAAACATACCAAGTCTTACCATGCACCTTCTAGGATCAAGTGAAGTGTTGTTAGCAGTAACCAGTAAAAGGTAGGAAGAATTTGAATTTAGATTCAGGAGAGCTTTGGTAAGACTTCTGTAGTTATGTTAGGGGAGGAGAGCTTAAGAATAGAAGAAAAGAAACTAGCTTTCAGGAGGAAGGGGCGTCATTGTTCCTAATGTCCATTTACATGATCATTCCTCTCCATTTATACTTCTACCACCAAAAATGACTTCCCTTTGGAAAGGGTCTCCAAGACGCAGAAGTAAGCCTATGGATCTAAATGAGCCAGGTCTACCACTATGCAACGCTTTTGTAAACCATGAATGAGAAATCGTGATTTCCTTCACCTTCATCAGCCTGTTCGTTTCTTCCAGAGATACGCGTTACAGCTTTGGGTACCCTAACCCAACCATAAAATCAGTCCTCACTCCTGACCCTAAACATGGCATTAGCTACTCGGAAAGACATAGAAAGCTAATATTTCTGAAATTCCAACATGGTAAACTAACATAATATAGAATTATGCAAGTTCATCAGGTTTATCCAAAGGGTCCAAACATATCATCATCATCGAGCACTGAGCATTACTTCATAAATCCAGCAAACATTTCCATGGAATGAGCAAGCAAGACTTCCTTCCTATTCATCCGCAAGTTTAGTTTGCTCTAACCATCCTTCTTTGGCGCTTTAGGTGCCTAACCTCATCATAAAATCAGACCTAACTCCTAATCCTTAACATGACAAAATAGGCATGGAATAGGAAACCATGATGTCCTTCATCTTCATCCGCAAGTTGGTTTCGCTCAAAGCTTTCATTCTTATTGGTTTAGTACCCTAACCCCATCATGAGATCACTCCTAATCCTCAACATGGCATTAGCTAGCAGCTAATACACAAACTGCCAATATTTTCAGAAATTGCAACATGGAGATATTCAATGAAGTAAACTAATACAGCGCAGACTGATTCATGCTCATCAATTTCCTCCCTAGGGTTCCACACATATCTCCAACACCGAGCAGCACCTCATATCCAACAGTAAAATTGCCATGGAATGGCTACTCTAATCATTTCCAAATCACCCCAAAATCTGAAGCCCTCCACTATCAATACTACACCGAAATCCAAAGTGTAAATTGTACAACACCCGAAAACAAATATCGCAACCCATACTACGAACAGGCCGAAACCGAGGAACTAAACCAAAAACTACAGCTCTGAATTAGCAAAAACAAAGGGGGAGAAAAGACGTACCAGTTGCGGCCGAGCACTTCCTCGGCGCGATACCCAGTAACCATCTCGAATACGGTATTCACGTAGATGATAGGATGGTCAGGCTCGAGAGCATCCGTGACCACGAACCCACAAGGCGCGGTTTGAAGCAAGCTCTCGACGGGGAAAGGGATTGGACCAACGCCATCGTGGAGGTTGAAGCTGCCTTCTTCCTCCTCGTCGCCGCTCAGATCCGAATTGCTGCTGTCCCACTCCATCAATATCTTCGATACCCAGTTACCTCCGTCTGCTATCTACCCCATGTGCGGGGAGTAAAAAGCAAAGTAAATGCAACACCAGAGGAAGGAATCAGAATGAAGCAAAAGGGGGAGGTGGGGTTGATTGGTCTATTACGGAATTTGGGATCAGCTGAAATGGAAATGGAAATGGAAGGAACACGAGAGTTTTGGGGAAGAAGAAGCAGGAGAAGATAGTCGAGAGAGGAAACGGGTGGTGGTGGTGGGCAATTGGTTTGATTCTCGGGAGAATTCTTTTCTTATTGGTGGGCTGGTTCGGTTTGTTGTTTAGGGTCTGCCTTTCCCTTTGGGCTAATCGGTTTTGCGGCTTTTCTTTTCCGTATGCTGTTGTGGTTTTGGATTTCCTTTTAAACACCACGCATTTACATGTGCGGCGCGAGTCACCGGTCACCCCACCGCCCTTTTCTCAGTGTTTTGGTAGGGCAATTTTGTCTGAGTTGGCTAAGTTTTAGTCTAAATTCCATTACAGTGAAGACTTCTTTCGATTCCAAACAAACAAACAAAAAAAACTACTAGAGCACGACTTGTGAAACGAGCTCGTAGGAAAGCGAGCAATACAAGCGTCGTGCTGCAAGACAAAACAATGGAGTAGAAGGAAGCATAATAGCGAGAAGAGTGTTAATGCTATTGCTTATCAGGAAAAGCATCCTCTAGTATTGGGAATGTATAGATAGCTCATATAAACAGACTTTCACATGTTTGAAGTCAGTACAAACATCCAACATCCGAGAAAACATGCTATTGGTATCGTCACCAGCAAGTAAACAGGCGAAGTCCCATGACCTACCAAGGCTACAGCATGTCCCTAACGTGAGCAGCAAGTCTCTGTTCAGACTGATCATCAAACCCTTTATCCACGTTCTTAATCTGGGACACGAATTCCATCGCCTCTTTATACTTCCTCGCTTTACAGAACCCATCCACAGCGATCTTATACGTCAGCTGGTTCGGCCTGCAACCGTGCTCAATCATATACCTGACAACATCCTTAATCTCCTCGAACATCCCTTTCCCTGCATACCCTGTCACAAACGTGTTGTAAGTGAAAATGCATGGCCGGATTCCTCTCGAGTTCATCTCGGAGAAAACTCGAATGGCTTCTTCCATGAGCCCCTTTCGACAGAACCCTTTGATCACCGTGTTGTAGGAGACGAGGTCTGGTTTCCCTAGCCCCTTGAGGATGTCCTCGGCCTTCCAGCAGTCTCCTGATCGAGCATACATGTCCATCAGGCTGTTGTAGGTCACGAGGTCAGGGTTTAACCCCGCTGAGCGGATGTTCTTGAGCATCTCGTGGGCCCGGTCGGTCATGTTGTTCTTGGCAAACATCGAGAGCATGGAGTTGAAGAGAACCAGGTCGGTTTTGTAACCGTGTTTCTGCAAGGCTGCGAATGCACGTTCCATACCGGGTAGCCATCTGCACCTGTGGAATGCGAGAACGAGGGTTCTCAGAAGCATCCAGCTAGGGAAGATTTCGCCTCCATAGATGTCCTTCTCGATCCTCTCTATACCTTCAATGTTCCCTCCCTTTGCATAGGCATTGAGGATCAAGGAGTAAGATGTTTCGCTAGGCTTGAATCCTTTGCTCCTCATGTCTTGGAGGATCGATTCTGCTCCCTTCCAATCCCCTTTACGAGCTAAAGCATTCAGGAGAGCATTGTAAGTAGACAGGCTCGGAGCAAAACCCGCTTTGATCATCTGCTCGTGCATCTTCGAAGCGATTATATCCGAACCACACCTACCATACGCACTGATCAGAGTGTTGAAGGTATCTCTATCAGGCTCGAACCCAGAAGCCTTCATCTCCTGGAAAACCCGATTCACGTAGGTTTGCATGCCTTCATCCCCACACATTGCAAGCATTGTATTCCATGTCACACGATTAGGAGCACACCGATTTGATTTCATATCATGAAGCAATGTCAGCATATCTTCGGACCTCGTTTTCTTCTTGCCCAGCATCCCAAGGAGAGCGTTGTAGGTACAGACATTAGGGACACAACCTAACTCCTTCATCCTTGCAAACAACTCCAATGCTTTGTCTACGTCTCCTGTTTTCCCATAAGCATTGAGGACGGTGGTGTAAGTAACAGCATTCGGCATTACTCCTTTTACAATCATCGTATCGATTACACCAGCACCTTCCTCAAAGAAACCGGCTCTTACATAAGCAGCCACAAGCTCATTGTATGTCACGGAGTCAGGTGGACAGTTGTTCTCCTCCATCTCTTTCAGTACACTCAGAGCTTCCAAGTAAATGCCAGCCTTTGCAAAGACCTGGAGAAGTGCATTATAAGTAACAGTCCCTGGTTTATATCCCTGAGATTTGAGCCCAGCGAAGAAATCCTTTGCTTCCACGAACAGTCCTTCTCTCCCACAGGCGGATATCACTGTACTGCAAGTGAACTCATCAAATTCCATCCCTTTACTTCTCATCTCATCTAAGAGTCCTAGAATCTGATCCCAAGAACGACCCATTTTGCCATAAACATCAAGCATCACGTTGTAAGTCACCAATGTAGGCGACAACCCAGTCCCCTTCATCCTTTGAAACATCTCAATCGCTTTGTCGTACCTCGCAGCACGAGAGTACGCGTGGAGTATCGTGGTACACGCCCGGACATCGAGCTCGTACTCCTTCAGGGGAATTTTATCGAACAGTTGGGATGCAATAGAGTGCTGCGACTCTCTGCCCAAAATTCTCACCATTAGCTCCACAATCTGCCCATCTACCTTCTCATTCTCCCCTTCCCGATTCGAAACCGCCCATTCGAACAGCAAAAGCGCCCTCTCCCAGCTCCCGCAACGATCCAACCCTCTCAACAAGCTAATCAAATCGACCCGGCCCAATTCAACTTCGCGAGACGCGAAGAATTCAGTCAACCGTTCCAGAGGCTGGCTCATAATTGAGTCAAGCACGGCCTTACCCTCTTTCGACAAGAAATCGAGCGACCCATTACCCAACGATGACGACCAGCTGCTCTCGTCGTCATCCGATTGGTAACGAATCTGCTGCTGCTGCTTCTCGGCGGCGACGGGGAGAACGTGGGAATGGGAGCTCTTGAGCTTGGCATTGGGGGAAGAGGAAGATAGGTGGAGGAGCTGCTGGAGGAGGGAGTCGAAGTGGAGGGTAAGGGGGAAGGAACGGTTGGAGGAAGACGACGGCGGAGGCGGCGGCGGGAGAGTGGGTGAGGTGAATTTCAGAGGTGGGTTCGGCGGCTGCGGCGATGGGCGGGTGACTGGGAGTGGGTAGATGGGTTTGTTGGGGAAGAGAGCTCCTTCCATCTCATGGAAAGGAGATTTGGATTGGAGAGTTGGGTTTTTCGGGGTTTTGGATTCTGGTGATGGAAAGGCGAAAAAGATAGGAAATTGGAGGGAAGGGAAGGAAGGAGAAAGGGGTAAGGTATTGTGGCGCGGGAGGATATGATTGGCCTCAATTTCAAGACACTAGTGAGTAGTGAATAAGTAAGGATCCTAAATTCATAATTCCAACCAAATGGCCAGATAGTCCTCTGATTTTTCTTTTGTCTCAATTAAGGACAGATTGTAATTCTTCCACTAATATTGCTTAATGAAGGATCAAGATTTGATTATAGGAAAAATAGCCATGTCCAACACGCAGCAGAAGCCAGAGGTCTCTGATATTTTTGCATGAAGTGGTTGTTCTTCTTTCTATTATTGATGAAAATAAGTCATTTAGTTCACAAATTTGCTAAAAAACAAGGGAAACTGGCTCGACTCAGTCAGTCTGTGAGTGTGAGCTGCAGGGCCCCAGGATCAATAATGCGCCACGGCCAGGAAGTGAGTGAAGTGCTCGAGTTTTCTCCTTCTGCTCTCTGCTTGCCAAACCTCACTAGTTTCCAAGCCCAAAGAAGAAAACTTGTCCCACTGTCCTTATCTCTCTTATTTTGGGTTTCATCGTTAATTGCCCACTCTTTCTCTTCCCAGCTCGTTGCGGTTTACATTATTTCCCCATGCGTGTTCTTCTTTCTCACTTCACTGATTGAATCAGAAGAGGCAAAAGTTGAAGTAACAGTCTCCTATGGAGTCTCTCCTCCTCCTTCCATCGTTCTTCCAACCGTCATCGTTTCAGCCATCTGGTATTACCCTTCTCTTCTTCTTTGCTTCCGTCGAAGGACCCTCCTGCGATGTTTCCCTTCGTTAATTTTGTTCATCATTTCTGTTTCTTCTATCTTTCTGTAGTGAAAATAGGCTTGCTCTAAGTGTTTCGATTTATGGGGTGTGTGTTAATTGGAGAAAAGCTTCGTTTTTTACCGTTGTTTTGATCTGTTTATATTGTTTTGCTTGATGTGACTGACCATGCAAATGGAATTTTACTGCAGATGCAAGGAGTTGGAGGAACGACTCTCTTAAACCAGGCTCTTCTAGAGGTACGATCTCTCTGCTTTAGCTGATGCATTTGCTTCATCTAGCTTGAATTGGGAAGTTTTGTCGAACTCGAGTTATTCAAGTCATGGTGTGAATTGGGTACTTAGATCCTGGCCAGAAGGTGAAAAGGATTCTTCTGCATGTTTTGGGTGAATTGGATCCTTGTGCATGTTTTTAATTTGAAGGACTCGTAGCTATTGATTGCTATTAACTTTCTAGAGTCCAAAGGCTGTTACTTTAAGCCAGTTCCATGTACAACAAACTGATGCTTCTCTAGTTCTGCCTGAGATACTTAAAATTTGAACTCAGCATTACCTTGTTACATTAGCTCATATGCTGTCTTCATCACCCAAATGCTCTTTCAATGGGGCTTCTTTCTGAAGGTTCTACCTCCACATCATGGGCCAAACTAGAAGGTTGTAGTTTTAAGAGCTTTCAGCGAGGTCACAGCAGGCATAAACTGAAATCTATCAAAGAACAATCTTTCAGTCAACAGAGAAGCCATACAAAGTTATTATCTATCAATGCCACCTCTGGCTCACAGCCACTCGAATCAGATCCAGAAGCTTATGGTGCTCCCAACAGTGCTTCGGATCTAGTTAAGAATGCATTCGATGCATTCTACAGATTCTCACGACCTCACACAGTTGTTGGGACGGTTAAGCTCCTTTACCTTTCTGTGTATATAGTTTTTGTGTCATATGTTGATTTCTCTAAATCGCTAGAAGTGAAATGACCACCCCTAGTTTTTTCTTCAACAGGCATTGAGCATTGTATCGGTTTCTTTACTCTCGATTGACAAGCTTGCTGATATTTCTCCACTATTTTTCACTGGGATGCTGGAGGTGATATATGGATTAATTTCTTTGTGAAGTTAGAAAAAAAAGCAGTTTAAGCTTGTAACCTGACCATTATTGTTTGTTTCCCTTTTAGGCAGTGGCTGCTGCTCTCATGATGAACATTTATATCGTTGGCCTAAATCAGTTGACTGACATTGACATAGACAAGGTGACAGTTGCAGAACTAATGAATAGATAATGAAGTTAGGAATTTTGGGGAGATTCTGACTAAGTTTATCTCTATTATACTTGTCCCATTACAGGTCAACAAGCCATACCTTCCATTGGCATCCGGAGAGTATTCTGTGGGCACTGGTGTATTGATCGTTACATCATTCTCCATCATGGTATTAGTCACAACACCTCTTTCATCGTTAGAGATTCTCATAATGTAAGCTGCATCGTTGGCGTGAAGTGTTAACAAATTTTGCTTTGCTAGAGTTTTTGGCTTGGATGGGTTGTTAAGTCATGGCCATTGTTTTGGGCCCTTTCCATCAGTTTTGTCCTTGGCACAGCCTATTCAATCAATGTAAGTAGCATTGCTCTATCGTTTTCCCTCTACACCAAGATGATATATCGACTTCACATGCACACTGCAGCCTCATTTGCTCATAATGCTTTAAATTGTTTTTCTTTCAGCTGCCATTACTGAGATGGAAGAGGTTTGCATTTGTTGCAGCATTGTGCATACTGGCTGTTCGTGCGGTGATTGTTCAAATATGCTTTTATCTGCATATGCAGGTGGAGTTTCCTTAGATACGTACTACAATTCCTACTGGAAATACTTGGAAATTCATGATAGGCCCTGACTTGCTGTAACTCTTACCATTTCAGATGCATGTGTTTGGAAGAAGTGCCATATTTTCAAGGCCATTAATTTTCGCAACTGCATTCATGAGCTTCTTCTCCGTCGTTATTGCATTGTTCAAGGTATAAATCATCCGTTTTTCTTTTCGTCCTATTCACCATGTGATGGAGGGTAAATGTTTAAAACTCCTGACTTGGTTCTTTGCAGGATATACCAGATATGGAGGGAGATAAGATATTTGGCATCAAATCTTTCACTGTCCAATTGGGCCAAAAACGGGTTGGTGTATTAAATCATGCACGGGAAAACTTGAATCCCTTGCTTTGTGGCTGATGAATGTGTCTTAATCAGGTGTTCTGGACGTGCATCGCCCTCCTTGAAATTGCTTATGGCATCGCGATGTTAGTTGGAGCAGCGTCGCCCTTCATGTGGAGCAAAGGCATTACGGTAAAATATGTGAAGCTATGACTTCACATTGCGTTAAGATTTAGGGTGGACTGATCTCTCCTTCTGTTGATCCATAGTAATACAAAATCTCATCTGCATTGTTTTTAGGTGATAGGCCATAGCATCTTAGCCCTATTGCTCTGGAACCGGGCAAAATCTGTCGATCTGACCAGCAAAGCTGCAATAGCTTCCTGCTACATGTTTGTATGGAAGGTTAGACCAATCTCTTTACCTTTCTTCTCCATTAATTCGTGCCTTCTCTTCACTTCATTCTGATACTAAACTATTTCATGTTCGATTTCAATTCCTGTTTGCAGCTGTTTTATGCCGAATATTTGCTTATACCGCTCGTGAGATAATAGTAAACATGGCAAGACGAAATGAACAGGGATCAGGGCGAATGATCGGAACGAGAAGCTAGCATCAAGTAATTTGGCTGCTCTGAAGCTTCTTCTGTGTAGAGCAATTGAGAAGAAGCACTTGTATAACTAACTATCTGGATTGAAGAATCACAATTCCCACAATGATGCCTGGGTGACAATAGGATTTAGAATGATTACTGGGTAACTTGGGCATGTAGATCACCTGTGATTCAAACTTTAAACATACTGGTTTAGCAGTAAAGTTATACATTGAATGTTAGTTCACTGCTATTGCATCTCTTTCTTCTTATCTTACTCTGGCAAGGGTAAAGTCTCTGACTTTATATCAAGTCTAGATGAACTCCAGCTGATTACCCATTATGATTCTTCAGATCATGAAATATTGTTGGATGAACAGAATATACCAGGGAGCCTATGTTTCCAGAAAACACAAAGCCCAGCGATGGCAGAAACAGAGGGATTAGTTATTCTCCGGCGAGTAGTTAATTACTTACCCACTATTCGAAGAACCTGTCTTTGTCTCGGGGAAGGAAGGAAGAAGAAGCTTCGATTCATGCTCGGAAGCGAAATCCCCGAGACTGGTCACTCAATTCCTCCGCGGCCCGGCCGCCACCGCCAGAACCGCGTCGGCTGCGGCCACCCAAAACCGCCGTGACAGAGGGAAAATTGTAGAAATGTCAGGAAGGTGAAGATTCTTCCGATCAAAGAAGGGAAACCGCCCCGGTGGGTCAATGAAGATTCAAATCCCCGAATTAGTGTTGTTGGGGAAGGAAGGAGAAGGATTTTCCTCTCGATTACTGACCTCTCTGTTTGTAATGAGGGGAACGATCAGATAACCGGAGAATTTATGGCTGGCGAAGGAAGGACCGGCGAGGAACTTGGGCGACGGTCTGAGAGGTGGAAGAAAATCCCTTACCCGGCGACCAACATCACCAACAGCCGACGCCGCTTGCACCAGGAGGAAGAGGAGCATGCCAGAGAGTAATCGGCGCGAGACCGAGCCTCCGATCGGAGGAATCGAGCGCGGAAAATGGGAAATACGGGAGGCCGAAACGTCGAAACGCGAAACGTTTCGGGTTCTCAAAACCAAAATCGAAACGCGATAAATTGACGAGAACTTGAAATTGACGAGATATCGCGATATAATAAATACCGCGATATTTTCACGATTTATTGACTTTTTGCGATATATTGACTTTGTGCTGACCGGTGAACGGAGCCCGCCAAAAACAGCGGGGAAATGACCGGAAAAAACAGGGAAAACTGGCAGAGCTCACTCCTGCTGACTGGCGAAGGCAAATGAAGAAGAACTGCCGGTGACGATTCCGGCATGGCATCTATGTATCAACGACGGACCTTCACCAGGCTCTGTTTTTTTTTTTTTTCTTCTTTCCCAGCGATGCCGGACGACGGACGGCGACGGACGGAGTCAGTGGCGGACCCACGTGTGTTTAGGGGTGTCCCCGGACACCCCTAAATTTTGGGAAAACGATTATACAACCCCCGGTGGAAATTTACGAATGGACAAAAAAATTATAATTGATAATCGGGACACCCTTAAAATTTGAAAAAATGATTATCCTACTCTTATCTTTTAGTTTGCGTATGAGAATATAAGTGGTAGTTTGGGTAATTCAAACATAGGACACTATTATTATTAATAAACATAATTTCCACTAGGCTACAACTCATATGTTGTTCGATTTAAACACTGTGTAATAGTAAAATGTACTTCCCTATTTCTAATTATTTTCAAAACTTAACAATTAAATAAATTTCAAGCTACCCTTAATTTGTATTTATTTTATGGTTGTACGACAAGTGTTAAAAGAGTCTTTTCAACTTTGGATTACATTAAGAACAAGTTTAGAAATCGAATATGTGATTAATTCGCGAATAATTGTCTAGTATGATAGAGACAAATTTTTTGAGCACTGTTCCGCTTTTTTTACTACCTAGGGCTTCGATACATTTCGAAATCGAGAAATTTCTACTGGAGCCGGTGCTATTCGGGAACAATTAGCCGATCTAGACACCAAGTGTATTCTACAATTATTTCTGAATATGAAAACACATCATTGATTTTTTTAAGTTGTATGAGTAAGGTATTTTCTTATTTAAAAATTATTTATTATTTATTTATTTAATTTATTTTTATTTAATTTATTTTTTAAAAGAGGACACCCCTATGTAAAATTTCTGGGTCCGCCACTGCGACGGAGTGGCCATGAATTGGTTTAGATGGGGCAGGTTTAGGGTATATATTCATCATCCGATACTGTTGGTGTGTTGGCGAAGCAGGAAGGACGAATTTCCCCTTTTCTCCTCTCTGTTCTCTGACACTATGTTTTCACACCTCCGGTCAAAATTTTCTATAGTATAGGCGGCAAGGGTGATCTTCCGGCGGGAATCAATTAATCCTTTTTTGTCCTAAACTTTAGAGCAGGTAGTGTAGATAGTACATACCCTTTTGTTTTGTAATCATAAAGGCGGCAATGGTGATTATATAGATGACGATTTCTCCCTTTTGGTTCCTTCGGAAAAATTGGAGTTTACAACTAACGAACGTCAAACATGGATATCGAAAATCTCTCATCCAAGAAAGATATTTTATTTTGATCAAGATAAAATTACAAGATATAGAGTTTGAGATGGTAGCAATGCTGTTTCTGACATTACAAGGTTGATCAAAACTACCAAAAATTTTACAGGAATTAATGAGAATCTAACCAGCAATGAAATTGCATGGTGTTATCTATTGACCTTTTTTTTTTCTTTTGTGAAAATCTATGGACCAATTTTAGTGGATGGGAATGGTACAGAGCTCTTTGAACCAAATTGTTTTAATTAATTGGTATGTCATATAGATGATTTTGTGCAACTGGGATTATGCCATTCAGATGATTGTGTGCAACTCAGATAAAGATTTATGCATCAAGATAAGCGAGTGAAATAAGTTCTAATTGTGACCCTAGGTGACTCGCGGTCTTAACGAATGCACACTCTAACCGTAACGGACCAACTTAGCTTTTTACATATAAGCAACTCACACTTAACAGATTAAAGGAACTTATTTTCGATGAATATGAATTTTCGAACTTTATTATTAACATGATACAATACACAATTTTTTGCCATAATAGGTATGATTTCAAACTGAACTTGGCAAAGCAATTCTAGAGTTAAGAAAACAAAATAACTTGCATTTGAAGGAAAATCGCACAAAAATTCATTTGTGTAGATTGTTAGTTCTTTTTTTTTTCTCCCAACGAATAAGTCAATTTTATTCAGTCGAGATGTAGTCGGAATAATACAATTTCGAGTAACTCACATGTGAAGGATAAATTTATCATAACAATGTATTGGTGTGGAATGGAACTCGAAAGCACACTTAAACAAAAACAAATTTCTTACAAATAATCCATTTGGTCTTGGATAATAAAATCAATTTAACATGGTATGCAACAGTGAGCAACACTGTCCTTTCAACAAACCATTAGCAATTTCCATCACAGGGATGGTTCCAAAACCTACAACCAACAACTTTGGAAAGCATTGATAAAGTTATATGGGTACAACACCATTTCAGTCCCAAATTCAGTTAAAATCATCATGAAACCTTAGTACTATAAGGCAAAACCCCATAGAAAGCTTGGCAGCTTTCCCCCCTACAATCATTGGACCATACATCCCATAAATTAAACAACAAAGAAAGAAGTATTTTACCCATTTAAAATGCCTCCCAAAATCATAGGTTTCCCCATCCAGCTGTTGCTGCAGCTGCAGCTGGACACTTTCTAACACCAATCCAACTTCCCCCATCTCCTTCCCCGGCAATCCCAATATTCGACGGACTCCTTATAAAAGCATACCATCAACTTCAAACAAGCTTCATCACTAACCCCACTTCACCATCTCTCTCTAAACTGCAAAGACTCACACCCTTCATTTCTTCCCTTAATGGCGACAATGTTTTCCGCGACGGGTTTTTGTCCGTCGCTAATACTATTGGTGACGATACTTTCCGTCGTTATAGGCAGCTCTTTCGCTGGTAACTTCAACGACGACGTCGTAGTTGTGTTTGGAGACGCCCGTGCCAGAATCCAAGAAAATGGCAATCTCATGAGCCTTGCTCTGGACAATAGTTCCGGCTCCGGCTTCCAGTCCAAGAACCAATTCATTTACGCCAAAGTGGAGGTGAACATTAAGCTCGTCGCCGGCAATTCCGCCGGCACCGTCACCTCCTTCTACGTAAGTATATATATGTATGGACACATGTCACTAATATTCATTCTGATTAAATGCCTACTAAATCATGTCATATTTAGTAACTAGAAAAAATTAGTATCAATTTTGGTCACTCGAATTACTAAAATATGTCACATTTAGTCACTCTCCCATTAGTTTCAGTCCAACTTTGTTAATGGAGTTGGTCGGAGACTAGGAGAGAGTGACTAAATGCGACATGTTTCAGTAATTTGAGTGACATTCAAGATCGTTAATTTCATTATTATTATTTTGTCAATAGTTAAAATCAGAAGGAAATGCGTGGGACGAAATCGACATGGAGTTCCTGGGCAACACGAGCGGCGACCCCTACGTCCTCCACACGAACATCTTCACGAAAGGGATGGGAAACCGGGAGCAACAATTCTACCTGTGGTTCGACCCGACGACCGATTTCCACACCTACTCCATCACATGGAATCCGGCCCATATTGTCCTGGTAGTGGACAAGAAGCCCATAAGGGAGTATCGAAACCTGGACTCCAATAACAACGTCCCTTACCCACGGGACCAGCCCATGAAGCTCTATGGATCCCTCTGGAATGCAGACGATTGGGCCACCCGTGGTGGATCCGTGAAGACCGACTGGTCCAAGGCTCCCTTCACGGCCTCTTTCAAAACCTACACCGCCGACGGCTGCGTTTACGGCAACGGAGCCTCCAGCTGCCCCGACAAGACTGCGCCGTGGTACTCGTCGAAGCAGATCGGCGGAGATGACTTGAAGCAGATGCAGTGGGTTCAGAAGAACTACATGATCTATAATTACTGCGATGACGTTAACAGGTTTCACGGCAGCTTGCCGGCGGAATGTGGCCGGAAGAAGTAGGACAAGTTGACGGCTAAGGGACATTGTGGTACTAGTGTAGCTGTCCGGTTGGGTTTTCGCTTTCTATTTGGGTAGTTCTGCTCCGAGAGATTGAGATGAAAATGTGCGAAAGAATAATTGTTGCACTCAATACTCTCTAGTGTGATTGGAGATCATAAATCACATGCAACACTGGTTTAGATTGGGTTTGCTCAATCATAGAGTTTCTGTTATTGTCTAATTACTTATTTAACGTTATGAAAATGTGATGGAACCATAATATGTTAGCTGAAAACAAGACTGAAGAAGGACTAGGCAGCAAACCACTACTAATTTTCATACTGCATGTTTGAATAAGATGCCACAAATATTGATCATCTCCTTTCAACAAGCTCAACCCCACAGCCACAAGCAGTTGGCAATGTTGGGGATCTACTCAAGAAACAAGCCGACCACTTCTGTTTCTCATCATTTTACTTGGTTAATACTACAGATACAAACGCAAGATATACAGTCATTAATATTTGTCTGTCAAAACAAACACTAATCATCATAGCTAGACCAGTGAAGCCTGCAATCGATTTCAATCCTTCGCTCTGTAAAACAGTCATCAGAGATGACCATGAGGAAGACGACATTCAGCATTTGGGCACTGGCATCCAGTAGGGGAGAGCTTCAAAGTGGAAGCTCATTTAAGGGCTTTATAGCAGCAACACTACCCAGTTCAGGAGTCATAAACTTGTCGTATGTGACCTGCAATCGTGCTGTTCTTGCCATCTTTTGAAACCTTAATATCATCTCAGCACATTCCCTATAGAAATTAATTGAGCTAAATTTATTAATCCATCTTCTTGAAGAAAGACAAACAAGTCTCATGAACTAAGAAATTACCTGAGCTGGGGAACACCATAGCGTGCATGTTTGGCAAGTAGAGGAGTCCATGCTGGATCCATCTTGAGAGTACAACGGGCAACAAAGATGGCTGATGCACTTACCATGGACGGCTTGAACTTTAGAGCTTCATATTCCACTAAACACAACTCGATGAGGTAATGTGCCAGGTTTTGAAGCTGGTAGCAAGCAAAGCAATTTGGATCACTCATTTTGAGCCTCATTAATCAACTAGAGAAATTACTAGGCATAACATGAGACGAGTGTCTGAATATCTGGAGTTGAAACGTTTTCTTTTAGGCGAAAAATACCTTAGATTCTGATTGAGCAGCCTTCAGAAATCGCAGCATGAACACATAGGCCGTTGGAACATTGAGACGAAACTTCAGTTTCCGAAGAACTTGTTTCTCCTGAAATGGAAATCAGATGGATAATCAGTAGATAAGTTATGGGAATAAACTATTTTCACAATCTACTGAGATGAATGTTTTAGTTCACAGGAAAGCATTGATGATTGAGTACCATTTCAAGCATTTGCCCATGTGTGTATGCCTCCCCAGAGATACTAACAAGATCTTTGATCTGCATTTGGAAGTGCAAATGGGTGACAAAGTTTATAGGAGATTCTGCACAACTTTATTTTCTTACCCTAGGATGCCAGAAGTCCTCATATTTTGATGCCAGCAATAGAGCAGTAAGACCAACTAGTTGCAGTTCACACTTTTGGATTTGGACTTGTGATAGGTATTGGTCCAACAATGTGGCCATCAGATAAAGGGTTTCTTGCATCAACCGAAATTTGCCGTGTGCCTATATTCCACATGGAAGAAAGCCAAATCAGCGAGGAAGAAAGCAGAAAGCCATAAAAATATTTGGGAAAATGAAATTGATAGAGGAAAAATGAATACTTCAATGAGCCAGTTTATCAAAATCCCTCGCATCTGAGGTGTAATAACAGTCTGCGTTGACATGTAATCTGCCAGAGATATGTTATGGCCCTGAAATGACAATAACCGAAGTATCACACACGCATCTTGGTAAGACAAAAACGTAGAGCCTCATTTTGGAACATGGTAAAATATAAAAAAGGACACCAGATTTGAACAATCACCTCTAGAAACCAGTAATATTGATAGATGTCGTCGACATATTCAGCAACTTCCAATTCATTGCAAGCATCATCTATGCTTGGCAGACCTTCATTCTCTTCTAACAGCTGTAGAATAACAATGGCTTAGAGACAGATTAACAGGGACTTAAGGCAGTACTGGGTAAACGTTTATCTCCAGTACCTTTGATCTTGTCATCAAGAGAGAAGTATAAGATCTTCTACGACGAGACTTTTTATTGGAAGTAGCATTACCATCAACCACAATAGAATTTTTGGCATCAGATGAAGTTTCTGGTAGAGAGACTTCAAAGGAAACCATTTTAGGGATGTTCTCCCTAACAGAAGAGGCCTCGGCTTCATTGTTTCCTGAAGATGAGATTGCTGCAATGGAGGAGGATTTCTTAGCAGTTGGCGCACCGTTGGATCCTAAAACCCTATGGGTGTTGGAACCCTTGATTGCAGGCTTCACTAATGGCTGTATAATGGAGTGTAAGCAATAATCAAATCGTTTTACATAATAGACACATCCAATTAACAGTCTTAAACCCTACTGCTTCACAAATACTTCGGACGTGTTTTTCCTGGTTTTAGCTGCAAAAGCAGGAAGCCAAACCTGATGCCATCTAATTTTTTTGAGGGCAGCTTAAGCTACTTAGTGTTTAGAAACAGCAGAGACATATTAAGGTTACATAAGCAGGTGACATACCCCAGCAGATTTCCTAAATGCGATACGGTCATTTCTGTTAGTTTCCTCCCTGGCACAAAAAAAGATTCTTAGCATATGTGTTTGTCAACTTATTATAACAGACCAAGTAAAAAACATTCCACTTATCTTTTGGACCTGTTTTGACTCCAGAAATCGAACAATACTTACAATGCTGTTGGACCTTCTCTTGCTCCATTCCTCTGTAAATGGCTCCGACCCATGCTCACTTGGGGTACTACTTTCCTACTGAGTCGGGTCTTAACTGTAGTTACCAACAGCCAGAAATTGAAAAACCCCAGCATCATACACATGCAAATAAGGTTTGTTAGTAGAATGCAAAGCAGGCAAACGCCTCAGAAACATTGGATCTCCATATTGTACCTGCAAAAATGCCGACGCTTTGGGTTTTGACTGACCCCTTGTGATTGTCCTACATCAAGAATAAGATATTAGGTGGCAGAATTGGTATTAGTCAGGGTGTTTTATTTCGAGATGCAGCTATAAATTTAAACAACCTTTGCATCTATCCTTTGCTCGGCAGTCATCAACAGTGGTAAGCACCTGCTTCACGGTAAAAAGATGATAGATGACGAATCAAAGTATGAATGGACTCTTGTATCAACACATCATCAGTACATGCGCTGGGTTTGTCAAGATTAATAATAAGCCACTGTGCATCAAAACGCTTAACCGTATGAAAGAGAACGATACTGTGCTATCCATACTAATAGAAAAAGGATTCTAATACCTTGTACTATTGCTAACAGATGGCTGGTTTGCAATTCTAGGCTCTTTGCTTGCATCATTTGAAGAGGTTCCCAGTTCAGTAACACCTAACATATCCAGGACCAACTAAGAACTAATTCAATGTTGCAAGCGAAAGTTAAAAAAGAATTTTGTCAACTCACTGCTAGTGAGAGAATTGCGATCACCAACTCTTTGCGTTGCATTATCTCTTGGTTTCACCTAGGAGAGCAAAATCAAATTGTTAGTACTGGTGGTATCTGACTAGCTGCCTGTGAGATTCAACTAAGACAATGAAGTGAGATGATGACATGCTGAAAAGTGAAACACAAAGAAAAAGGAAGTTTCAAGTTAGCTTTCTATTTCATACCAATGAAGATTTCCTTGCTTTGGGAAGCACAATCCTAGAGTTTGATCCCTTTGACGCCCTGAAGAAGTGAACAGAAAATATAGTGCGAGATACAAACTTTGCAGGATTTAATAAAAACAATCAGGAGATGCCATAAGGGAACATCCAATTGCAAATGCAAAATGTCACATTAACAGTGATCGATTAGGGATTTCCTTTAAGAGAAGATTTTACTTACAAAGGCTTAGGTCCAGTGACTGGCCCAGAAGAACTGCTGCCACGAGCATTGCTTATATCTGCTAATGCCCTTCTTCTAACCTTCTGATCTTCTGGAGAGGCATGGCAAAATTACTTATACAGATAAGCTTTCTGAAAATTCGCATTTACTTTGCAGGATCTAAAATATCATCATCCGAGTAAATATAAGCTTAAACTGAAGCATTTATCACCTTTATTATCATTCTTGCCTTTGGTGTTCTGCTGGGTTCTTGAATACACCTTCGTATCATATGACCAGTCAGCACAACTGAAAGCGTATTTTCAACAGGGAAACTGTAGCAAATTTAAGAAAAGAATGAACCTAGCTACCTTAGAAATCGTTCCAATGCCAGATGGTACAAATGGCCTTCTGGAAGTATTATTTGACAGTACCATAGACCCAGCAGCAACATGGGCTTCTCTGCTATTTTCAGAACTGGAAAATAGAGTTCATTACTATTAGAGGAAAGGGCTTAACAGATGTTGCGCGTTTGGCAAACAAAGACAAGACGATATAACCCATTAGTGAAGATTACTCTATCCACTTACATGCCATCACGCGGAACCTTCTGGCTATCAGGAAGAAGATCGCGGTTCCCCCAATCAACTGGTAATCTCGAAAAGAAAATGAGAGTTAGCAGCAAGTGATGGATATATTGTAGCAGAAGGAGGCGAGGGATGGGTATTACTACCGGGGCGTTGATTGGGTCTGTGCAGTTGGACTTGTCTCTGAGAATTCATCAGATAATTAAGGTTACTAATAACTAGAATAAGAAATTGGAAACAAGAATTAAGACTAAGAGAAATCGAATAAGAGGAGAATACTTACTTTGGCAGTAACCATAGGAGGAGCGGTTCTGTGCTGCTGGATTGCTGCGATTCGATTGTTGGTCTGAACCCTATTTCAGATGTCTGTTTCTTCGGGTTTCCCCCTTTTGTCTTCTCCAGCGCTGAAACCCGTAGTATAAATAAGCAAATTAGTGACGAAGATTAGGGGTGTTCAAGATTCATGAGGGAAAAGAAGGCAAAGATTGTGAAACACTAGCATCGTTTCTTCACCGCCGGCAGGCACGGTTCCGCCCGACGGCAAATGAAGCAGAGAGAAGGAACGATGAAGACGATGGTGACGACGAGATAGAAAGGAAGAAAGGAGAAGGATCTTTACTAGTTTGGCAATGGCACGGCGGCGGAGAAAGACAGTTGCAGGCGTAGATCCAGAGAAGAGAATAACTCAGGCGTCTCGGCGGGAGTAGGAGCAACCGTTTGATTTGAAACTTTTGGAATGAGGAGAGAGAGAGAGAGAGAGAGAGAGAGAGAGAGAGAGAGAGAGAGACCACTTCTGACTCTAGTCCAGACTCCAAACTCGTCGGCGAGACGACCTCCGCTTTCCCGCAAATTCAAATAGCAGGTTTTGGTGGGCCCATTTCCCTTTTTTTCATTCTCATTCCCACATTGGGCCTAGAACCAGTTGTATCAGCTTCTTCCTCAGCCCAATGGGCTTCATTTCTTAACATTCTTGGCCTTCATTTTTTTTGGTAGAAACTAGAAAGATGCTTCAGCATCCTAAGTTTGAATTTGCTAACGAATGTGTCAAAAGAAATTTTGGGTTGTTTGGAAGTTGCGATTGTTAAATAGATGTATTGTTGAGAATGCATGTATAATATTATACATGTATTGTCGAATTTGATGCATTGTAGAATACAACATTTGGTATGTGTGATTGTGTATGTCGCATCAGCTAAAAACTGAGACAAAACAATCTCAACTCAACTATCTCAACAATCACAACTAAAAGTTGAGATATAACAATCACTCAAAATGAGTGATAGTTTCTGTCACATCATAGAAACAATCCGTGTATTGTTTCTGCTAAAAAAACAAAAAAACGATGCATTGTAAACAATACATGCATAATGACAATCTCAACAAAACAATCGCAACTTCCAAACGACCTCTTTATTTTTTAGTCTCAGTAACACACTAACAAAGCTTTGCCGCAAAAATTCAATTCATGAAAATTCGACAAATTTCACCATGAAAATACATGATTTCGTGTGAGGTTCGAGGTGCATTTAACCCGAGTCTAAGGTGTTACAGTGAAACAGTCCAACCAAAGACCTCTTCCCTTGCACAGACAGACAATTTGAATCCAGAAGACTTGCATCGAGAAGATTACAGTGCATCGTTTCTTGCATTACAACAATCAAACCATTCTCTTTCCACGCTCCACTTCAAACCCAGATAATTTATCTCACTAAGCACCAATTCCACAGAGATGCTCAACACAATGTGTAAACATTCAACTTCCTTGCACCACATTCCGGTGGAAGTTCTAACCAATCACCCTACGACCGGGAAGAAAAAGAACAGCCATTTCATCAGAGTTGTCACTTCCAAAAGGCACGACCATCAGCACACAAAAATGAATGAATGAACAGTGGTGATAGAAATGAGTCAAAGTACTTACTGGACTGGAGCCAGCAAGCAAGCAAGCTGCTCTCTACTCCCGATATGGGGTGAGATCAATCTCCATATGTTTCTTCCCTTTGCTTACCCTCTTCAAGTAGACCACCGGCTATTAGTATATGACATTATGGCAAAGGATGAAAGGAGGCAAAATGCAAACCATCAAGTGTAGGGGAACTCACAGCTATTGCCACAAGCTCCTCCAGCAGTTCCTCCAAGTGCCGCAGGGGCTACAGTTATCAACAAGTCAAATTCTGCCAGGAAACCTAATACCAAAGAGGAGTTCTTTCTGACGTTTCAGAGTAAAAAACAGAGATTTGTGCACATACCCACTGCGTCGGACCATCAACAGGTGCATTCCTTGGATCATCATGCACCTAGTAACCCCACAAGAAAAGAAAAAATCTCTCAGTAGCTATAAGGTGCTAAAACAGTGCAGGTGCAGGGTATAGTGCAACATGAGCGTCTGAGTATAGATAAAATTATATCTACAGGGTTACCTCCATGAAAATTCCATCCACCCCAACAGCGACTGCTGTCCTAGCTATGCATGGTATAAGTTCACGTAGGCCTCCACTGGCAACTCCTCCACCATCCAACTACATCAACCAAAACTGCTTAACTATGGTGCCAAAACAACATAACATATAAAATACAAAAGAAAACTCTTCCATTTTATTATTGGGGGGAGGAAGCAAAAGATATGCACACAGCATGTACTTCCAAATCGTTCAATGCAAGAGAAATGAAGAGAGAAGGAGAAAGAGCCAAAAAAACAGGAAGGAGCAACAAAGAGACTGCCCATAGAACTCAAACATCTTAACGCAGTAAGTTAGGCTTTATCTATTGGAGCCACGTTTAGACTGTAATATGCACCTTTTTACCAGCAGGCTGTTGTAGTGAATGTGTGATATCAGCAACCTGTGTGAAGAGCCATAAACAGTGATCAGTTATCCCAACTTACAGCATATATTTTAAACGGGAAAAGAAGTCCACGCTTGATTGGCTCACAACAGGGCAGTTAGCATCTCTCATCCACTCAAAATTGCGTGGATCAACAATCAAGTCATCTGCATACAAAAAGAATCATTTCAAGTAAGGGGTCTCATTTATCTGTAAAATCAAGTTAATGGAATCATAAGTTTCTATAGCATCACATCGACTTGAGTTTAAGTTAACATATTGCTTTGAAGTCCCAGAAAGTGGAGGTCTCCCAGGATATCTAATAGAATCAACATTATAGTTCTACAATTTAATCAAAATATAATGCCAAGTCCAACGTCCACTAAAATGAGATTAATAAGAAAAGCTAGTATAAACGAACTTACTATATCCAAACATGGTTCCTCTCTCGCAAACCATCACATTCGGATTTCCTGCTAGTCTAACCTTCTCAGCCGAGTTCTCCATGACCTACACATTTTTGGAAAATACAAATAAGCAACATGTTTACAGGGCTAATCTTATCCTTGGTCAGAGAACTTGCGGAGAAGAGAGAAACACTGACACTAGGAGCACAGAACTGGCCTTTCTTTATGTTTATTATTTTCCCTGTCTTCGCAGCTGCAACTAGAAGGTCTGTCTGTCATTTGATAAGAAACAACAAACACAATTGTGTCACAAATTAGAAAATTAACAAGCACCCATATTGAGATCCATAAATTGTTTATGAAGGAAGCAGTAAGGAAAGTTAACCTGACGACATAGAAATGCAGGAATCTGTATGATATCTGCGACTTTACCAACTTCCTCACACTGGATAGACGATAACAATCCATTAATTCATATTGGATACCAAGGGCGCACTTCACTATTCATCTGCCCTTGAGAATCAAAATCCATGAAAGCGGTCTTCTTCACATACAGAACGAATCCAACCTACCTGAATGCTTTCATGCACGTCGGTGACGATTGGAATGTCGTAAGCTAATTTGACCTTCTCAAGTATCTGCCATCCCATCACAAAGGGGTGTGTAAACAAGCTTGCTCAAGAAAAGAACACATACAGGGAAGATGGTTCCACATACAATTGGCGGGAAATGGAGTGGCATTATTGTGAAACCGGAGGTAGGGAATACTCACACCTTCAATCCCTCGATCAAACCAGGGCCACGAAACGACTTGGAGGATGTTCTGTTAGCTTTGTCGAAGCTCGACTTGAAGACCAAAGGCAAGCCCATTCTATAAAAACAGGACAACAAAACAAAAAAAAAGGGTGCTGAATCAATTATTCCAAGGAAATCAAGCCCTCCCAGCCCAATTCTACTAAATCAGTGCAAAATGTGGCAAAGATGGCGATTCAATTCTCTACAACCAAAGCTAGATCGGATTCAAAGCACCACTCTCCCTACCTGGTGGAGATGGCCTTGATGTGTTTGGCCATGGTGAAAATGTGCTCTTCGGATTCAATGACATTAGGACCGGCAAGCAAGAAAAACGGATCCGCCGACTGTGGAGAATCCATGACGAATATGCTTTAATTAGAATGAAGACGGAAGGAAGGGAAGAAAGGGCATGCGAGAAGAGGAACTGGAAACCTTGAGCTGGTTGTAGAGTGCTGCCGATGAATCCATGGAGATCGAGGGAAGTGAATCGGGTTCCGGCGAGCAGAGATCCGAGATGCTAGCTGAACATAGAGAGTCGGAATCCAGTGACAGTGAGCAAAGATCAGACGGAGAAGAGGAAAGGAGAGGAATAAACAAGTTAGTCACTCGTGGAGCTCCTCTGGGCTTTTACCCAATAGTTACACGGGCCTTTTGATAGGCTTCCTAAGCGGGCTTTTGGCCTAATAGAAACGGGGCGGATCTCTACCTTTCCATAGTCCACTAAACGGGACCTTAGCTGAAAGAGACTTACCACCAAGGCACGAATTCAGTGTGTCATAAATTTTTCATCAATATTTACTATTTAGGCTGCTATACCATGGGATTTTTTACAGTGACCTCAATGTATTGTGAAGTGAAGGACCACAAAAAGCTCCAACAACATTATTGAATTGGATCACAAGAAGACGATACGTTTTTTTGGGACTTTCTGATCGAGCAATTGTACAACTTGCATAGCCATCAACTTGGACTCGTGACTGCAGGTATGAATATATAGTGACCAGCTAAACTGGATTCGATCAAAGCTAAAGTTTACATGGCGTCTGCATGTGTGTGCTGCATTGCCATTTTCGGATTTCTCCGTCGATAACTCGGATTAGTAGAATGAAATAGTTCATAACGTACATTAATCGTTGTATTTAATCAACGAGAGGTCGGTCTTGTGCGTCCCAGCAAAATTTGGGTCACCTTGTCATATCTATTGAAGATGACAAATGGCTGGCTGGCTGGCTGGCTGGCTGCTGTGGAGTGCTATCAATGTCAAGGCCGCGACTCTGACGTTTTAGCCATGCACGGTAGCAGACTTGAAAACCATCATTGACGGAAGCAATAAGTGACTTTTAGCGTTGGGTAAAAAGAAAATTAATGGAGGCAGTTGGCGGACAAGCTATAGCACCAGCCCCGGTCTCTCTCAATCAATCAAATCTACACAATAAATAAAAGCCAAATGAAAAAATTTGAAGCCCCATTTCAAATTTCCTGCATTCAGAGCATGGTTGTCACGCCGGCCGGCGTGCCACCGGTTGTACCTGGTTCAACCAATACCGGTCATAAAACCGGCGTGACACCACCGGTATGACCGGCATGATCGATATACGAATCTCCAAGTAAAATGACCTTATTTTAGTGAATTTAATTGATAAAAATTATTTTATTATTTATTTTATGAGTATAAAAGTTAAATATTGTTGTTATTTGTTGAATTCAAGTATAAATGTTTAGGTATTGACGTTAATGTCATGTTTCAATATGAGTATTTATAATTTTATTTTTAATATTGACCGGCATGAACCGGCACAAACCGATATGTGCCACCGGTCGAACCATTTCACATGCTAGACCGGCACACTGGCATAAACCGGTTTGACAACCTTGATTCAGAGTGAAAGTAGGAAGGATATTTTGGTCTTCACAATTACTTTTTTTTATTCATTAAAAAGACACTTACTAGGAAGAATTCGAACCATGACCATTTTAAAGAAAAACAAAGATCATAACCAATCACAGTAAGTACATTTGTTGTATCTTTTTAAATTAAAAATATATAATTGCAGAGAGGAAAAAACCATTCTCCCATTTCAAATTCCCTGCTCCAGGAGCGTTTGTAGGAAGAGTAGAGTAGGGAGTGTCAATTTTTTTCTTTTTCCTCTGTGGAACGGGCCAACTTACCGTACACATGCGGATTTAAACGGGTCCAGGAGTGTCAATTTTTTTCTTTAAGTCCTTTTATTTCTCCGTAGTGGTAAAATATATATATGAAAAGGAAAAAACAATACTCCTTTTTATTGCTAAAAAGAAAAAAATAACAATAAACTAATGCATGGATTCTAATGGGCTAACCGCTAATCATAAAATAAAAGAGTTGAATGGGTCTGACCTACACTGGATTTGCCCATCAAGTAAAACAAATGAACATCATGGGTTTGCCATTCTAAAACAAACTATTTTCTCTAGCATAATATATATTATGCTATTATTTTATATCTTAGTGGCTAAAATATAATGTATTTTAAAGTTATTCAATGGTACAACCTCGACCAACTCAATTAGTCCAATTTTTATCATTTCAAATATATATTATGTAATTATTTGATATCATAATGATTAAATTATAGTTTATATTATAGGGAATGGTTTGGTATTTGTTAGTTAAAAACTAAACAGAAAGATCTATTTGGTTATTTTTAACATTAAAACGATCCTAAACATTTTCAGTTTCCTAAACATTCGAAATTCTATAGTTTTATTCCCGAATCAGTGATGTGCAAATGGTGAATTGCAGTCATCTCTTTTCTTTCATTATTTTTTATTTTCAAATATAAAGTTTAAAAGTAAAGAATAATTAGAGTTTGGCATGAGTCGGTCAAACAGGCTGAATTTCAAATTTTTGCCCGTTTTGATCAAGTCTAATTTATAATCACATGGTTCCCTGATACCCTATAAAAATCTCAATCCAAACCAGTTTGGCAGGTGAGTCCGTGTTTACCACCATTTTCTAGGGATACAGGAAAGTTGGTTCCTATCCCAAATCGTGCTGTTCATTCTTGATTTCTTTAGATTTTATCATGGCTTGGCAAAAAACCAGAAAGCACAATGATGAGAAGATGAAAGTTTTATAAAGCAAATTAATCGGCCAACAGGCCGAGTAAAAGCTAGCAACGATTGTGAGATGCTCATTTCCCGAAAACCGGCGGGATAGGCGATTTTTTATTCGATTTTCTGGAATTCGGTTTCTATAAAACTTACTCCACCTCATCATATTACCATAAACAATATTGTTTCACAAGGTAACAGGTACTTGATTTTGGTTCATAAGGCTGATTTTTGATTCATTGCATCATTCATGTCTCTTTTCTACTAAAATTCACTATTTTTATCACGTGTTTCCCAAAAAAAAAAACTATACAATAATAAGTGTTGGGCATAGGACTCGGGCCTAACCACGCCAAGGAACCGGGCGCAACTGGATGAGACCCCAACACGGCAGCGCGAGGACCCCGAGTGTGCCGCCTCATCATGGCTAACCACGTCCAGGCGCGAAGAGATGACAGGCGCTAGGGGAGGACTAGCGTAGGCTGAACCAGAAGATGAGGGAAGCGCACCTCTTCCAAGCGGGTAGTCACATCAGGGCCATGAGTGGATCTCTGACTCATCCTAGGTAGAGGGATGGCCTAAAAGCCTTAGTGTGCTAGTGGTCACATCATTGTATCCCAGTAGTCACATCACTGTATCTCTCCCTATGTCAACCACTCACCCACCACCATGAAGCCTATAAATATGGCATTTACTACGGTGGGTGAGGGGATCGCATTTTTCACCATTCTCTCTCTACAAGAACTACTTCTCTTTCTAATCTCTTTCTCACTCAACTCTCTGATTCTGGTTCCACTGATCCAGCTCGGCTCTCGCGTTTCTTCTCGACCCAAACTCTCCTTCGAACCTCACTCCTACACTCAGTTAGGTTCAAACAATTGGCGCCCACCGTGGGGCCGAGAGGAAACGCTGAAAAAGATCCACCAATGGCAGAGCGCAATCTTGAACAACCTGACCAAGCAACGCCGATCAAGGCGATGACTGACCCAAGGGCGTTCGCAGAAGCCAGCAACCTCAACGCGGTACTCATCGAGGAAGAAGAGCCGGAGCTGACGCCCAAAGAAATGAGGGAGCTGTTGACGAAACAAAACAACGTCATAGCCGACGTGCAGAGACAAATGAGCCAGGTAATCGCGCTCATGATGAGCAAGGAAGGCGCGCCAACGATGGACGCGACAGCGATCGCGCCTCAACAAGCCTTGGGAGAAACTTCAGGGACAATCCTGTCGTCACAACTCGCGCCAGCGGAACTTCCCGCGCGCGGGATACAGGAAGTCGAACCACCGGGGCGGACAGACCTCAGCTTCTTGGAACAACACCTGACTCCGCAATACCGACCCAACCCGCCCAAAAGGACCCTACACCAGCCGTTGAGCGCGCAAATAATGGCAGAGAACCTAACCGGAGCGCCACCAACCCTCCCGACATACAACGGCACTACCGACCCGGAGGACCACGTGAGCACTTTCTGCCTGCGCATGCAACTCCAAACCAACTCCAACGCCGCGCTATGCAGAACCTTCCCCTCGACATTCACCGGGATATGCCTCGATTGGTACAACCGCCTCCCCAATGGAATCATCAACTCGTTTGAGGAGTTCATACTTCTGTTCACCACAAAATTCGCGTCCCAGAAGCGACGCCCCCTCCACCTCAAGGCCCTGATTGATATCAGGCAAAAAGACGGAGAAAGCCTGAGGGCTTTCTACGCCAGATGGTCCAGGGTAGCGATGTCCGTTCGTGACCTCACTCCCGAAACAGCCGCCCATCACCTCATGGAGGCGACCAACAATATGGAGCTCAAACGGGCCTTAGCAAAAAGGCCCGTCACGCTCTCAACGGAGTTGGAGATGAAGATCGAGAAAGCGATCACGCTAGAAGAAACCTTGGGGGCGGGATCCGTCAGACGCTTCGAACCGGCGAGAATGTCGCGAGAGGAACAGACGCGTCGACAACCCCCGACCCCCATCCCACGGGACCAACTACTTCAGATGCACAGTGGTCCGAAGCGCAACCCCCCTCCCCCACCGGAGCAGGGACAGCGCGGGCGATCGCCAGACAGGCGCGTATCCAATGCCTACACGCCCCTCAATGACTCCGTGAAGAACGTGTTCCACGTCCTCCGCGAGAAAGGATACAAGATTAACTGGCCTGCCCCGCTGAAGTCTCAACCCTACATGCGCGACCGGAGCCGGCATTGTGAATTCCACAGAGCAACGGGGCATAAGACAGAAGAATGCCGAGAGTTACGGTACGAAATAGAGGGCCTCGTACGACGAGGGTTGCTAACTGAATTCACCCACGTGAAAAAGGAGCAAGTCGAAGCGCCACAACAGCCACCCCCACCCCCACAAACCGATTACGACGATGACACAGGCGCATATGTAGTGCGCAAAGAGATCGGGGTGGTAACGGTCGAAGGAGATCGTCCCAAGAAGAAAACCAAGCGTGAGCGCGCAAAGGAGTGCGCGGCCGTCGACGCACCGCCGAAGTTCAACCTGAGCTTCGGCGACGCGGAGTTCCCACAAGGAATCCCGTCGGAGGA